CCTTGGCCCCCATTTTACAATGCCCCCCTGAGGTAAGCAGCATGAGCTGAAGGGACTGTCAGAGTTCATGTCCCCTTCTCTGTCTCAGATTTTTCCCAAATAAAAAGAAGATTAGTATCCTTTACTGAGGATCCCACCAATTCTACTCAGGAATTGGAGTACCTTACCTATGATCTAACATGGAATGATATTCATGTTATTGATATTCATGTTATCTCTTCCCACCCTTAATCTGGAAGATCAAAATCGAGTCTGGGTTAATGCCTAGAGCCATGCCTATAATTCGAGGCGACAGGCCCCCACTAACCCAGTAGTGGCCGAAGCATTCCCTAGCCAGGACCCCAGGTGGAATTATCAGGACAATGGGGCGGGTAGGAAAATCACGGACCACATTTTAATATGTCTCATTGAGGGACTTAACAGAGCCTCATGCAAGGCAAATAACTATGAAAAACTGTCTGAGCCCTGGCCGGTTTGGCTCAGCGGTTAGAGCATCAGCCTGCGGTCCGGAGAGTCCCGGGTTCGGTTCCCGCTAAGGGCATGTACCTTGGTTGCAGTTTGTCCCTGGCCCTGGTTGGTTGTGCGGGTGGCGACCATTTGATGTGTCCCTTTCACATCGATGTTTCTCTCTCTCTCTGTTCCTCTCTCTCCCTCCCACTCTATCTGATCAAAGAATGGAAAAATGTCCTCGAGTGAGAATGATTAAAAAAAAAAGAAAAAGAAAAACTGTCTGAAATAATCCAGGAAAGGAATGAAAACCCTGCAACTTTTCTATCCCACCTTATACAAGCGATGAAAAGATATACTAACTTAGATCCTACTAGCCCAGAAGGACTGTCATTTTAAATCTGGATTTATCTCTCAGTCAAGCCCAGACATTAGGAGAAAGTTACAAAAACTTGAAGATGGCCCTCAAACCCCTCAATGGGAACTTCTTTTTAAAAAATTCTTTTTTCTTTATTGATTTTGGAGATAGAGAAGAAGGGCGAGGTAGAGAAAGATAGGAACATCGATGAGAGAACATCGATTGGCTGCCTCCAGCATGCACCCCACTGGGTATCGGGCCCACAACCTGGACATATGCCCTGACCAGGAATCATACTGGCGACCTCTTGGTGCATGGGTCGATGCTCAACCACTGAGCCACACTGGCCGGGCGGGAACTTCTAAATCTAGCCTTTAAGGTGTTCAATAATCGCAATGAAGAGGCTAAACAGCAAAAGAATAGCAGAATTCCAAATGCTTGCCTCTGCCTTCAGAGGCCCCACTAATCGAAGGGGTCAGCAAACCCCCTTCAGGGAACAGAAGGGCACCCACCAGAATCAGCAGAGCAGACCCCCAGGTCCCTGCTTTAAATACAATCACATTGGTCATTGGGTGAGGCAGTGACCCAATCCTCGACCACCACCTAAGCCATATCCTCAATTTGGAGGCCCCACTGGAAGTCGGACTGCGGACAGACTGTGCAGAGTTGGTCCTCACCCCTTCCTCGGACTGGTGGAAAGGGTAATCCAGGCCTTGATCTGATTGGCCTGGTGGCTGAAGACTGGAGGTGCCCAGGAACGAACTCCCTGACCATCACCTTGAACTCCAAACCTCAGGTAACTCTGATGGTAGCAGGTAGGCCAATTTTATTTTTAATCGATACTGGGGCAATCTACTCTGCCCTCACCGAGTTCAGGGGACCTCTTCAACACTCTGAGGTTCAGTTGTGGGAATTGACGGCCAAATATCGCAACCCAGGGCAACCCTGACACTCACTTGTTCTTTAGGCCCTTATATCGTTCTCCACTCTTTTTTAGTGTTACCAACCTGCCCCACTCCTTGGTTAGGGTGAGACATGCTATCTAAACTCCATGCTACCTTAACCTTTACTCCTTCTCTCCCCACCAACCACTCTCACTCATTCTTTACATTGTCTCTTCTAAGAATCTGCTTCCTCTCTTAACATAAGCCCCCAGCACCCCTCCATCTCGTCCCCATGAGGGGGCAGGGCAGGATCCACTGGCCTTGCTGGCCTCTCATGAGATACCACTACTCTTATGGTTTTTTTCACTGACCCAGTGAAGGGGGGGGTGCGAGCCCCGAGGGGCTCTAGCTTCCGGCACCAAGCAATTGGTTGTCCCTACTGGGCTGGCGCGACCTGCTTTTAGGACAGTGCTAGGTGGGGAGTTTGACTGGGACGGTACACCTGTCAACAGATAATGCAGGCGTCCTATGGCGATCTCAGGGAAGACAGAAATCTCCTGTGGAGCAGAAGGACAAAAGTTCCCTTGATCTTGATTCTCAGTATGAATACAGACTGTGAAAGCAGGCAACACCTATAATATCTTTCACTATAACCTTACGAGGGGTCCCTGTAATCTAACTATTCATGATGTGTCTAACCCCTGCAATGGGAGTTTATATGTGCAAGCCCAGAGGGACTTGATGCAATACCACAAAATCATACCAGGGAAATTAGTCGCTATCCAGGGTGCAATTCTGCCAGTGGCACTAGCCCTCTCCTCTCTATATCATGTTTTAATCATTAGAGACTTACTGTGGGAACACCTCCCTAGGCCCAAATATGACTGGACTACTTTGCTTACCAGCAGGAATGATGTTTTTAGGTGCACTAAACATTTCTGCCCCCAAGAGAGAAATTGCTCTTCAATGCCCAAACCCAGGGTGGCTTATGGGCAGTAGGATATGTCACTCCAGCCAATACCTTAATCCATTCCTTCACCCCCAATTCAACCTCATCAAGCCCTGAGCCTAGAAACCATCACAGGGCAAAAAGGGAAGTCAGACTCCTTATAGCAGGAGTGCCGGCGGCAATTACCACTGGGGGCCTCATGGGAGGAATTCCTTACAATGCCATAACAGCAAAAACATACCCGCCACCATGGCAAATATAGGTAGAGATACAGGTGAAGACTTCAGACTTCTTTCAAAATCCCTTGACTCTCTTGCCTGCATGATGATAGATAATTCCATTACACTAGACTATTTACTAGCCAAAGAAGGAGGTGTATGCATGATAGCAAATACATCCTGTTGCTTCTATGTTAACTCGACTGTCCAGGTCAAGGAGAGGACACAACGAATTCTAGATAATGCCCAGTGGCTAAAAGAATTCAGTCAAGATCCCCTAGCCCAATCTGTCTGGACAAGTATAGAAGCAGCCTTGCCTAAACTAACCTGGCTACTGCCTTTATAGGGCCCCTACTATTAGCCCTCTTATTATTGCTTTTTGGACCCTGCCTTGTGCGCTTGATTACTAGGTTTGTACAAAATCGACTGCAAATTTTAGTCAACCAGAAAGAGGGACAATTTGTTCTAGCACAGGTTAAATGACCCTATGATCCCATTCTCTTTTCTTATTTAACAAATTCTTTTTAGGAGTCCACACAACACCACACATGCAGGTGGTATACAAAGAGAAATTCGACACTTTTTTCTTTTTATCATCATAAGATGGGAATGAAAGGGCTACTAACATTTTAAAGGGTAAAGGTAAAGGCTTGTAAAAGGTGGAAACTGTGAAAAATGTGTTGCTTGCATAACTTTTGCTCAGCCTTTCCTTCAGTACAGATAAGGATTAAGATAAGGATTATCTAGATTATCCTCAAGGCAGTGGATAGCCCAGCAGATGCCAGACGAGATAACAGGCCAGTCCAACTGCAAAGTGGACAATTGGCCAGACAGAGTATGTCAGCAGGAGCTGCGAGAAGCTAAAACTAGAGTATATAACCTACACTGCAACTGATATTTGAGGCTGACCCCTGCTTGGCTCAGCCTGCCTGCTCCCAGGCGCATGCAATAAAGCCATTTTGCTCTACACTGGCCTTGTGCTGTGGATGTGATCTACCGTCGGCTTAGACATTTTAAGATAAACCAAAGAACTTATATGCTTGTATGCATAACCAATGGACATAGACAACAATTCTTGGGAGGGCGTGAGGTAGACCGGGAGGATGGTGTTTACAGTTGGGGGGCAACATCTGTAATAAGAGTAAATTAAGTAATAATAATAAAAAAAAAAACATGGAATAAATCTGAACCCAGTACCCCAGGTGCCATACCACTAGCACACAAATAGCACTTTTACCTGGGAAGTCCTGTGAAGAGACCCTAGAGTGGGAGCCACAGGTTGCTGTTAACTCACGTTCAGCATTGAATCAATAATTAGAGCCAAAAGGCTTTTCCCATTGACCTCTTAACAGTTACTTGAGAAGCCAATTTTTAGGTCCTAGCTCAAGTAGACAGGGCAGCATTTTACAAATGTTACAGGATCTCTTAAAAACAAGGTAGCGGCAGAACCATTTATAGAAACCAGATGTTGTCTTTTGGCCTGACCATGCTATTAGTCTTTTTTTTTTTTTTATCCTCACCCGAGGACATTTTTCCATTTTTTGTTCAGGTAGAGTGGGAGGGAGAGAGAGAGAGAGAGAGAGAGAGAGAGAGAGAGAGAGAGAGACATCGATGTGAAAGGAACACATCGTGTGGCTGCCACCCGCACAACCGACCAGGGCCGGGGACAAACTGCAACCGAGGTACGTGCCCTTAGCGGGAACCCAACCCGGGTCTCTCAGGACCGCAGGCCGACGCTCTAACCGCTGAGCCAAACTGGCCAGCGCGCTATTAGTCTTTTATCATCCTGTGTATTGAGCAAAGGCAGCACCGTTAGGACTGGACGCACCGTAAGACTGGCCTGCACCATCTCCAGTCCTACCCGGCTAATATGTGGTGCTAAATCCAACAGGGCTCTTTTCCCGCGGGGTCTGGGAGGCGGGGCCCCACTTTCCAACGCAGGCGCCCGGGGGTTCTGGGCACCACACCCGCCCGCCGCGGTGGGTGACCCGAGCCCTCAGCCCCGCCCCTCTCTGGTGCCGATATCCAATGGGCGGCCGGAGGCCTCTCAAGTGGGCGGGGCACGCCCTGAGAACCGTCCTGGTTGGTGCGCAGTCCGGCGCGGATCGTGACGTCTCCCCGTCTTCAGCACTTGGCGCTGCGGCTAAGGCGTGGCTTCCGCTCGGGGCGCCTGAAGGAGACTTGGAGACAGCTGGGTCGTACCGTTTTTGTCGTTAGGAGTCGTCGTCCCCGCCAGTGCCCTCAGTCGATGAGGAAGATGCTCGCCGCCGTCTCTCGCGTGTTGTCGGGTGCCGCCCAGAAGCCGGTAAGGGGGCGTGGGCAGACTGGTCAATGGCGCGAGCCGGGCCGAGGCTGGTGGACCCGGGGAGCCGGCCGGGCCTTGGGGCGCGCGGTGTGGTTCTGACTAGGGCGCGGCGGGGTGCTTCCGGAGCCACGAGCCGACAGGGGTGGGGGCGGGGGTGGGGAGGTGGACCTTTACGAGGTCCACGTGGAGGTCAGTCGCGGCTCCAGGCGCGGGGCTAGGTGTGCTCCTAAGTGCCAGTGCGTTCACTGCAGACAGAAGAGGGATCCTTGGGCTTCCTCGATTCTCCAGTTGACCAACCTTCCCGGCCCACTCATGTTAAGTCTTCCTAACTACATTCCTCTTGACCCAGAGGCCGTGTAGTTGGAGTATGTTAAGGGCATGGAATCCGGAGACTGAGTGGCTCTTTCAAACACCAGCTTCACCATTTACAAGCCCTGCGACCTTGGGCAAGGTTTTTTAATACATCCCCGTGCTTAGTTTCCTCATTTCTAAGCTGGAGCTAAGTACTTAACCCCGTGGGATTGTCGTGGGGTTTAAACGAGTGAAAAGTGTGTGAACCTTACAGATAGCACCTGGTACCTAATAGGCGTCATTTGTGTTAAGTATTGTTATTTGAGTGCCCAGTTTGGTAAACATCTGTTGAACACTTGCGCTCGGCTCTGTGGAGAGTTCAGACAGGGTCAGGCTCCTCAGAAACAAACTTTCTCCCCTTTCCTCCCTTAACGTTGAGATTTTCTTGGCAGGCAGCTCCACAGCAGTCACACAGAACGCGGAGGAAACCGCTCTCCCGCTACACACGCTTAGGGCCAAAGTAGCTAAAGAAAACATCAGTGCTGCTTGAGAGGTTGGGGTTAGAGGGTAGTGCTATTTCTGGCTCCAGCTTTCAGATGTGCCTAATGCCTCAGCTTCTAGCACGTTGACTCCTAGGCACAGGGAGGTAGTATTTCTTGGTGTAACTGCAGGCAAACTTTGACTTGCAATTCTGGCTCTAGAAACTCTTCCCAGAACTTTGTGGCAACCCTGCTTAGTAGGGGCAGAAATGGTCAGAAGGTGGGAAATGTACCTCTCTAGGAACCCCATAACTACAAAACGCCATGTGATTACTCAGTTGTTAAGTATTTAAATTTTTTTTTTTTTTAATGCTCACCGGTGGACATTTTTCCATTTTTTGTTCAGATAGAGTGGGAGGGAGAGAGAGGAAGAGAGACAAACATCGATGTGAAAGGGACACATCGAGTGGCCGCCACCCGCATGACCCAGCCAGGGCCGGGGACAAACTGCAGCGGAGGTACATGCCCTTAGTGGAAACCGAACCCGGGTCTCTCTGGACCATAGGCGATGCTCTAACCGCCAAGCCAAACCGGCCAGGGCTAAGTATTTAAATTATAACTGGATCTTCCTGAAGGAGAAGCACATTTCACCATTATGTTTTTCTGCAAGTACACATGATATAGCCAACATTTATTGAGCTCTTAATATGTTCCAGGCACTAGGTTATGTATTTCATATGCTTTATCTCATTTAATCTATACAAGTTCTTAGTTTAATGTAAGTAATAGAAACATGTTTTCAACATTATACAAGGCCTTGGTTCAATGATTACATTAAAAATGAAAAACTTTGGTAGAAGTTTTTGTGATTATCTGCAGGAAAAGGAAAATTGGTGTGTGCATTTTCCGATCAGTTACCACCCTGTCTATCCCTGTGAACAGAGAAGTCATTATTTAAAATCGGAGCCTAATTCCCTCAACGGTCCAAAAATACTCCTGTTTGTGTTTTCCAGTCTTCCAGCAATGTGTTGGCATGTAATGCAAATTGCTCTTCATCTTTGCTTTAGTAAAACTTTGGCCTCTTCAGAAATCATATAATATAGCCCATATCAAATTGAAATGAGTTTTGAGTTTCATTGATCTGTTAACTGAATAAAACAAGAGTGGAATGTAACCTCATTTAGTCGTATATTTTTATTGAGAGTAGAACTGTAGTGGAAATTGATTCCCCATGTATAACACTTCTGTTTCTTTTATTTAATTTTTTACGAGAATGAGAGACAGTGAAAGAGTTAATGCTCCTTACTTTGAGCACCCCCCCCCTCATTTTTTTACTATTTTACCTATTCTGTTACCTGCGTATGTGGCATTAATTTTACTAAGGCACAGAGGAGAATATTTTTAAACAATTTTGTACTATTCCTAGATTTATGTGTCTGTGGCCTGGAACCCAGTTTAATAGTTCCTCCTTCCTGCAACAGAGCAAATCAGCTAATTGATGTTTCTATAAACTGTAATAATCGATGGAGATGTTCCCAGAGTTCTCAGTGCACTTTGGGCTCTTGGATCTAGTGTGCTCATTCATCATCAGGTATCAGTTGTGTTAACACAGGCTACTTAGAGTGTTCAAAGTTTATTTTAGAATCATCATATACCTATACTTTCAAAAACACCTATACTTCTTAATGCTAAAACAGTGATTGTTAGCAGAAGGAAAACACACCTGAAACTGTCTGTCATGGGCTGGACAAGTTTCTTGTTCCACATGCCAACTTCCCAATAATTCTGGTTTTGAAACTTTGATTTGCAAAAGTGTCTTTAAAATTACGTCACCATATCAGATGTTAGTCTCATCAAGACAAAAACTATCAGTTTCAAACTTTGATTTGCAAGTGTCTTTAAAATTATCAGATGTTAACCCCATAAAGACAGAAAACAACTGATTTCTCTCTAAGCCGGTGGTTCTCAACCTTCCTAATGCCATGACCCTTTAATACAGTTCCTCATGTTGTATGTGGGCGTATCTGCATGTGGGTGGACCCGCCTGGAGATGGATAGAGGAGCGGTGTCTTGGTTCCTAAAACCATCGGAAATATGTATTTTCCGATGGTCTTAGGCGACTCCTGTGATACAAACAGGTTTAAGGAATTTATCTTTTAACAAATTCATTGTATGAATTAAAGGTGTATCTTGTATACCTAAGTGGAAATGTTGGTGTAATTTATTACGGTGTTCACTTCTCAGGGGTTGAGAGCATTGGGGGTTACTGGGGGCTAGTCTAGGTGGACATTGCTCCATTCTTTCCTCCCTCTAGTTGCCACCCTTCAGCCGACCCACTAAAATCTTCAGAAACTGGATCTAGTGCCTCCTACAGAATTTTGAGTCTCTAAAATGAAAGCAGAGAGAGAGAGAGCCCAGTGTAGCTTAAGGTACTTAAGATATTTAAGTACCTGTCATTTTATATTTGGATAAGGTTCAGAGTTTTCAGTTTTTATTTAGCAGAAGATTAAGTTGCATTTAAAAATTTTATTCTTTGTCTTATCGTATTTCCATGATGACTCCTTTTGTGAGATCTTCACTACCAGTATTTTTTTTTTTTTTTGCTTTTTAAGTAGTAGGTAAAAATTTTCACTTATACTGGTAGAATCTGGAATTTTTAAAATATTTTCTCTCTTTCACTTGAATGGTTGCCATGTATTTAGGAAGGTAAAGTTTTTATTTATTTATTTTTGTTAATCCTTACCCGAGGATATTTTTCCATTGGTTTTTAGATAGCATGGAAGGGAGGGAGGGAGGGGATGGGGAGAGAGAGAGAGAAAGATTGATGTAAGAGAGACACATCAGTTGGTTGTCTCCTGCACGACCGTGACTGGACCAATGTACCTGCAACCCAGGTACGTGCCCTTGACCAGGAATTGAACCTGCAACCCTTCAGTCCTCAGGCTGATGATGCTCTAACCACTGAGCCAAGCTGGCCAGGGCTAAAGATTTTACTTTTGAAAATTTGAATGGGTTTTTGATCTCTCAAAGTAGAATCCCATTTAACAGAGAAGCTTTTTATAGCTCTCCAGAGAAAACAAATGGTAATCATTTCAACAATCTCAACAGTTAAAAAGTTTGATACACTCACACTTCTGGTATAACTTTTAGCTTCTTTAACTTAACTTGGCTCCTTTCACCTATTTTGTCTGATATAAGTATTGCTACTCCAGCATTTTTTTTTTTTGTTTTCTGATTGTTTTATATGTCTTCTCTCTTTATTCTCTTGCTCTCTTCTCTTGTATGTTGACGACTTTTTTTAGTGTTATGTTTGTATTCCTTTCTCTTTATTTCTTGTATATATCAAAGTTTTTTGATTTGTGGTTACCCTGTGCTTCATACATACCAAGCAGTGTTTGTAGTAGTCTATTTTAAGTTAATGGTTGCTTAAGGTCAAACACATTCTAAAATCACTACATTTTTTTTCAAAATTGTTTTTCTTTATTGACTTATAGTGACAGAGGAAGGGAGAGGGAGAGAAACATCAATGAGAGAGAACATCGACTAGCTGCCTTCTGCACCCCCAACTGGGCATTGGGCCCACAACCTGGGCATGTGCCCCCACCAGGAATCGAACTGGCGATCTTCTGGTGCATGGATCGATGCTCAACCGTTGAGCTACACTAACTGGGCTAAAATCACTACATTTTAAAAATTATTTTTGCTGTTCTGATTGAGTATTTTCTACTACCTTGCCTTTCAAATCACTGATTCAGTCCTTTGCTTCATCTGAATTGCTGTTGATTACCTCTAATGTATTCTTCATTTCTGGCTGGTTCTTTTTATGTTTTCTATCTCCATTTTTACATTTCCTATCTCTTTGTGTAAGTTCTCATTGAGTTCATCTACTCTTCCCTTAAGTTCACTGAGCATCCTTATAACCAGTGTTTTGAACTCTGCATCTGATACATGGCTTGTCTCCATGTGTTTAGTTCTTTTTCTAGAATTCTGTTCTGTTTTTTCATTTGGGACATGTTCCTTTTCTCCTCATTTTGGTTGCCTCCTTGTGTTTGTTTCTATGTATTATCTTCCAGTCTTGGCAGGGTAGCCTTATGTAGTAGCTGTCTTGTGGGGTTTAGGGACACAGCCTCCCCGACCCCCTGAGCTGGGTGCTCTAGGGGTGTCCCTCGTGTGGGTTGTGTGTGCCATCCTGTTGTAGTTGAGGCTTGATTGCTCTTAGCACATCCGTGGGTGGGATTAACACTCAAGCTGTGAGGGCTGCTGTGACCACAGTGGACGAACTGTTGTGTGGGACCTGACACTGGAGCAGGAGTTGCTTTAATGGGGCTCTGGTGCCAGCTGTGTCTGCTCTTTGGGTGTGTTGTTTGTGGAGCTGGTTGGGTGGTGCTCTGGTGTGATCTGAAGCCGGTCACCAGGTGTGTTAGTTCTGGAGCCTTTGAGAAGATTTCTGGTGTTAGTTAAGGTCAGGCACCACTTGTGCCCAGCTTGAGGCCATCTGGTAGGAGCTATAGAGGGATCTGCTGTTGGTTGCCTCTTGTGCTGGGCTTGGAGGCCTTTGGGAGAGGCTATTCTGTGAACCAAGGTTGCCTGTCACTAGTGTTGGGTTTGGGACCCTTTGTTGGGTACCACGATGTGTGCTGAAGCCAGCTGCCACTTGTGCCAGGTTTGTGGCCGCTTAGTTGAAGCTATGTTTCAAGCCAAGACTGGCTGCTGCATATGCAAGGCTTGGAGCGACCTAATGAGAGTTCCAGTGCAAATTGAGACTAGTCTTTGCTTATGCTGGGCTTGGAGTAGCTTAGCAAGAGGTACAGTGCACACTGAAGTCAGCCTCTGCTTGTTTGGGGGTCAGACCTAGGAATGTCTGAAGCACAAGCTGAGGCAGGCTGCTTGTGCAGAGGAGCCACTGGAGAGGTTCTAGACAGGTGTGAGAGGAGGATGGGGAAGGGTCTCGGAATCACCAAGGCTGAGTGAACTGTGTTACCCAGGTTAATGGAGAGCTCGGATTTGATGACCCCCAGCACTGGGCTGGCTGGGGGCGGGGGGCTCAACAAAGGAACAGTGGTACTTGTCAGCACTTAGTCCCTGGAGAGAGCTGTCTCTATCCCTGTCTTTCCGGTCCTCACCCTGAAGCTAGTCTAGCCCCCCATATTTCCTTGCTGTGCTTTGAGCTACTGCCTCGGTGCTGGAGCCCAGAGCAAGTGAATGAGTCTGTGTATGGGCTGTTTAAGACCTGTAGTGCCTAGATCTCTGGCAGCCCTCTATCTCACTTGGACATGATCTCTGCTGGTTTTCACAGCCAGATGTTATGAGGACTTCTCTTTCCAGCACTGGATCCCTGGGCTGGTGAGCCTAATATGGGGCTGGGACTGTCCCTTGCTTCTCGGAGGTCTCTGCAGCTGAGATATCCCTCCCAATTCTTTTTTTTTTTTTTTAATTCCTATTTATTGATGTTAGAGAGGAAGGGAGAAGGAGGGAGGGAGAGAGAGAGAAAGAGAAACATCGATGTGACATCAGTTCAGCTGTCTCCTGCACATGCCCCCCCACCCCACCCTGGGATTGAACCACAACGCTAGCATGTACCCTGACCCTCTGGTGCATGGGACAACGCTCAGCCAAGTGAACCACACTAGCCAGGGCCCTCCCAATGCTTGATCACCACCCTGTGGGTATGGAACCTGCCTGTTACTGGTCTCTGCTCCTCCTACCAGTCTTAATGTGGCTTCTTCTTTATGTCCTTGGTTATAGGATTTCCGATCACCTAGGCTTCAAGTGGTTCTAAGTGATGGTTGTCCTGTAATTTATTTGTTCTTTTGATGTGGTCATGGGAGGAGGTATACATAGCATTAACTTACTCCCATATCTTCATTGGAAATTGAAAATAGTTTTAAAAATATTTTTATTGCTTTTTTAGAGAGAGAGAGATAGAAACATCGATGTGAGAGAGAAACATTGATTGGCTGCCTCCTGCATGCCCCCCACCAGGGACTGAGCCTGCAACCCGGACATGTGCCATGCCCAGGAATCGAACTGGGACCTCTCAGTCCATGGGACAACGCTCAATCCACTAAGTCACACTGGCCGGGCCAAAATAATTTTTTAACTGCCAAAAATACTGTCTTGTGCTTGCTAAGCACTACCTTTTGTCACCTTACCCCTCTCAGTTCCATTTCTTCCCACATTCCTCAGTTTGCTTCACTTATTCTTAGGTATATTAATGGACTTTCTCTACCTGTAACTTAACTGAAGCATTTATTTCTAGTATTAAGCTTTTATTTTTAACTCCAGCAATGTCATTGTCTTTACTTGTTGGCTTTATTAGATAATAGTATATTGATGGGTGAGGAGATTAGAAGATAATTTCTGTCTGTAGGCTTGTATACTTGGAGGTACACTTATCAGGTCAGTCTTAACCCTTCTCACCAAGATCAAGTCTAGTGCTAGAAGCTGGATGACTGTATGAACATATCAAAAGTACTTTTTGTGGGATCTGAAGAATGTGCTTCAAGTCTTCATGAAAAGAGGTCATGTTGATTTACACATCAGTGTGTGAAAACGTGGTAGAGTGTGGCCAAAATAGTACAATAATACTAATTAGTTCAGCATTTGTGGTCAAACCTGGACCCTAGCCGTCACATAGAATACTTTTGCTGCAAACAGGTATGTTTGATTGTAAGAAGGAAACATTTCTTCCAGCTTTTTACCCCCCCCAAGCGGTGACAGCCACTCAGACATCAAGAAGGGCACACTGTGGTAGAGAATCTCTCTCCCATGTGGGGTTTCAGGAGGAACCTACCCAAGGTATAGGCTGTTCAAATTATAAAAAACCCTCAAAGTCCATTGTTTTTAAATCAGGAAGTGCTAAATACCTTTTCTTTTGTCTTATACATTTCTCACTAATATATTTATCACATACTTTGAGAGTAGTTTGAAATATTTTTCTTATAGACCTATTTCATTAAAAAGTGGTTTGCCCGAAACAGGGATTGAATCATAGTTTTATGTGAAGAATAATTCTGAAAGTGAAGCTTAAGCTTTCTCGGTATATTTAGTTATGACTAAAATAGCATAAACAAAGCCCACAGATTATCTAGTCTCTTCAACTTGGCCATTAGCTTCATTATATCCTCACTATAATTTCTTTGAAAACAAAGTGACTAAGTGGATTGGTTTGGTTTTTGTCTCCATTCTCTTTCTGCTGTTTGCCTTCAGATAGGGGTACACTCATAATTTCATTGGCCAAAATATGGATTCATTTTGGAAGACAAGATCTCAGTGCACTGAAGAGAAGGGAGATAAGCCAGTGAATATACTGGGACTTATTCAAGTTCCAGGACTGCATCCTGACAACTGATTAATAATAATAATGACTTTTAAAATAACTGTCAATAAAAATACTGATATATTTATATATTTTGGTCTTTCAAGGCAAACAGAGTACTGGGGGCATCCCGTAATTTTGCAAACGATGCTACATTTGAAATTAAGGTAAGAGGTGTTTTACTTGTGTTAGTTAATAACTTTTCCACAGGTCCACTTTGATATATAGTTTTACCTTTGGAACAGAACATTTGTTATTCATGCTTTATCACCATTTTTTTTCAAATGTTCTAGAATCAAAGGTTCAGAGATGTTTAGCAAAAATTAGAATTTGTACTTCTTACTTAGCAGCTTGCTAGTGTTTGGGGTGGAGGGACAAGCTAAAAAAATGAAAGACTTCAAAGTTTAAACAGTCATTCTGTAAACATTTTGGATGAGAAGATTCTTCTAATACTTCTTTGAAAGTTTGTTTTTCAACCTGTAAATCATTTGATTCTAGTGGTTTTCAGTGAAAGTCATCTTAGAAAGAATTCATTCCTCCAGTACCCCATCCTATTGCACAGTGAGTTTTATTATGTAAGGGGTCAGCTAGCATTTCTGATGTGCCTCTGCAGGTTTTTGAGTTAAATATTATTTGTGATGGAGTTAGATGTTAGAATGGGTTGGCAGTGTTTACATCGTAGTAACGAAGACAACTGACTCCATTTCAGAAGTGTGACCTTCACCGACTGGAAGAGGGCCCTCCTGTCACAACGGTGCTCACCAGGGAGGATGGGCTCAGATACTACAGGATGATGCAGACTGTTCGCCGAATGGAGTTAAAGGCAGATCAGCTGTATAAACAGAAAATTATTCGTGGTTTCTGTCACTTGTGTGATGGTCAGGTGAGTGGTAGTTTTGTAATAAAACAGTGTTGTTAAGAAATGCAAGTGTGGCTTCTATTTAGTGGCTATTACTCTGCCTTATATATCCAAAGGATTCCAGGTTGGTATTTTAGAATAAAAATGAAAATGCTGAGACCTGCTATGAAGCTTATGCTAAAGAATTTATTCATGCATCGTGTCGCTGATTTCCTATGCCTTTATGGTATTGTGATCACCTGTATTGGATATACTTTTGGGGTAAAGTGTTTTTTGTTTGTTGTGGGGGGGGGGTTGGCACAGTTAGACCAGGAGCTACAAAATCAAATGCCTACAGGGAGTTGGGTAGAATAAATGAGTGAAGAAGGCCAGCTATACAAAATAGAGAGTGGAGTCCTGGCCGGTTTGGCTCAGTGGTTGGAGCATCGGTCTGCGGACCGGAGAGTCCCGGGTTTGGTTCCTGCTAGGGGCATGTACCAAAACAAACAAAAAAATTGGGAGTGGTGACAAGAACTGGTGGTGAACTGGAATGCACAGGCCCCACTTGCAGGGGCCATCATGACTTGGTTCCATCTAATTGGTGCCATATGGAAATACGGGCCTCTGTTGTGAAATATGGTGCTAATGCTTCCTATTGTTCGTTTCTTCAAGACAAGACAGAAGTCTCGATTTTCCTTTTTTTCCCCTTTATTGATTTTTAGAGTGAGAGGAAGTAAGAGAGGGAGAGAGAGATCAATTGGCTTCCTTCTGCATGCCCCCTACTGGGGATCAGGCCCACAACCTGGGCATGTGTCCTGACCAGGAATTGAACTGGTGACCTCTTGGCACATGGGTCGACGCTCAACCACTGAGCCACATCAGCCGGACAGAAGTCTCAATTTTCATGTGAGATTCCCTCTATTTTAATGTTGACATCTGATTTAATCACTGTACAGACCAAAGAAAACAACTGTAGATTGCCAGTTTATGGCTTCTGGCTTGGGCCTTACCGTCCACTCTGTTTCTGATGAAAGATAGAGCTACTTTTTGTGGTTATTAATGAAGAGTTCAACTAGGCCAAATGTTTCATATTAATGTAGGAAACCTTTTCTCTAGAAATGTGTATTGTATTGACTCACTGCTGCTGCTTCTTTTAATGCAGGAAGCTTGTTGTGTGGGCATGGAAGCTGGCATAAATCCCACAGACCATCTGATCACAGCCTATCGGGCTCATGGCTTTACCTTTACTCGTGGGCTTTCTGTACGAGAAATTCTCGCAGAGCTTACAGGTTTGCTATTAATTTACAAAAAGGTTTGCTATTAATTTACAAAAACTTAGTGAATTTAGTTTCCAAATCTCTCTTATTAAGATGCTAACTCTTATGAGTTCATAATAAAACCTTTTTGAGTTAAAAAAAAATACATTCTCTCCCTTTTGGTGCTCTGATACCTCTGTTGTGCTTTTGAGTAAATGGACCATTTTTGAGGTCATCTGAGCCCTCAGGTAAAAGTTTAAAAAGATTAGCTCTAAGAAATCAGAATTGTGTTTATTATCACTATAGCATGCCAGCAGAAAGCTAGCAGTCATTGGGTAGAAGCATTTCATGGTAAGCAGTGTAAAGTCTAGGAATCTTCTTAGTATTCCCTTTGTGTCTTTGTCCCCCTTGACCCTTGAACTACACTGGCAAAAATTTTGAAAAGTCCAGGGTACTATGCTAACATCTGAAGGAAACTCAGTGATTAGAGAGCTGGAAAGGCTGAAAAGATCAAAGACAGGACTGGTTTGACCTTTATTATAAAAGGACCTGGAGAAAAGGAGGAATGTATGTTTGCATAGAGGGGCAGGTGCTTATACATCTGAATTGGCCTCTGACTTCTAATGGATGAGCCTCTAAGTAAATGCTTAGGTGTGGTTTTGTTTTGTATATTTGGTCTTTGATGCATATGTGTGTGCTGCCATTTCTAGGACGAAGAGGAGGTTGTGCTAAAGGAAAAGGAGGATCAATGCATATGTATGCCAAGAATTTCTACGGGGGCAATGGCATCGTGGGAGCTCAGGTAGTCAAGGATGAGGATTGCATGCTTTCCTAGATTTGGCCTTGGCCTGTGTCTTTACAATATTTCATACCCCAGAGAACTTCCCTCTGATGTATTTTACTATTCGTGGGGCTTAGAGTATTTGCAGACCTATTGCTTCATACACTACCATTTGATCATTTTATACGTACATTTGGACAGTGATTTCAAATGTTTCCTTTTAGGTATTTGTTATGTTTTATAAGCAAGAGCCTCTGGCAGTGGAGATATACCTTTACCTTTTTATTTAAATTTAAGTACATTAATTGCTTTGTCACATCCACTTTTCTACCTCTTCCTGCTGTAGATAGTGCTGATGCTGGTGGCCACCAGGAAAGGCACGTGATCAGGATCTAGTTAGGATCCAGCACTAACTTTGGTGGTTATGTGGTCCTCCTTGTTCTCATCAGTTAGTGGATAATGAAGAAATAATGTCATAAAATCATATCTAGATTGTTTGGTTTACTTTCTACTACATTGAGATTTCTAAAATGTTTTTTTATGCCTAGGTTTTATTGGCTTTTTAGAATTAGTAGTTGAATCTTGGAGCACAGAAATGTTATTGCTTAATGGTTGAGAGTATAATAAGTACTCATCATACTCTACTGGTTTGTTTATAATATTGGGACTGGGGTAAACAGAGATAGGGTTGGGGTAGAGGGAATTTGTAGTGACAGTATAATTTCTATCTCAGTTTCTGGCGAGGAAGTTAAAATTCAGAGCACTAATGTCTCCCCTCATGGATTTCTGTGCTTCCTTTCTTGGTTGTCCTTAATACCAGGTGCCCCTAGGAGCTGGGATTGCTCTGGCCTGTAAGTATAATGGAAAAGATGAGGTCTGTTTGACTTTATATGGCGATGGTGCTGCTAATCAGGTGAGTATGCGCCTCTTAACTTTCTGATGATTAGGATTTTATTTCCAAAGTGTTGACTATTCATAGGTCGGTTTGTAGAGAAGATATTATTTACTTGTTGAAATAGCCATTCTCATGGCAAGCTAAATTTTGGTTTTATGGCCAGATTAGAGATTTACCTTTTGACATGTTTTGCAAATGCTTTATAGGGATGCACTCCTGTGAAGGAGCTCTCCTTTGCTCTACCGCAGTGCTTCACAACCTCTGTGGGGAAGGATGTTTTTATATTTTAACCCATTGCAAACCAATTCCTAAACCAGTAGTGTAATGTACAGACTCAGTCTCTCTCTTTTTTTTTAATCCTCACCCGAGGACATTTTTCCATATTTTGTTCAGATAGAGTGGGAGGGAGAGAGAGAGAGAGAAGCATCAATGTGAAAGGGACACATCGAGTGGTTGCCACCCGCATGACCCAGCCAGGGCCAGGGACAAACTACAACCGAGGTACGTGCCCTTAGCGGGAACCGAACCCGGGTCTCTCTGGAACCGCTGAACCAAACCAGCCAGGGCCAGACTCAGTCTCTTGGAGGCCTTCACATTATCAAACTCCTGTCATAGTTTCTGAGCCTTGACTCTTCTGTGCTTCTCTGATCATGGTCCAAGGTGTCACCAGTCTGTGGATGACACTCTGTGAGGTCCTGCTTTGGATGCTGATTCTTAGACACTGGTTCACTCTGGTTATCCAGTGGGTCTCTTAGAATTTAAAATAAAGCATAAAACCAGCCACACATTTTTCTTTTCCCCAGTGTATACTGCCTTGGCCCCACAGAAACAAGTGGTGTTTGGTTTTTCACTTCCCTTTGTTGCTAAAGATGATGCTTGCTGTGTCTCTTAAACCCTTCATGACCGCCCCCCCCATACGCACGCGCGCACACACACACACCTCAGAAGCTTGGGTAGAAGATGAAGCTTTTTATACTTTATGAAAGCTTTCTCTGCCAGGTACAGCAGCAGCTTTTAGGATGATGAAATCTAGAGAAAAATAACAAAATGAAACCATTTGAACTTTTTATACACACTTCCAGGGTCAGATATTCGAGGCATACAATATGGCAGCTTTGTGGAAATTACCTTGTATTTTTATCTGTGAAAATAACCGCTATGGAATGGGAACGTCTGTTGAGAGAGCAGCAGCCAGCACTGATTACTACAAGAGAGGTGACTTCATTCCTGGGCTGAGGGTAAGGACACCTGTCACGGAGCCAGGACTTCACCTTCATGGCTTGATGCCTCTGTGTGTGCACTTGATAATTTCAGACAAATTGAAGAGTTCTATTTTCTTAGTGCAGGAAAAGCTCATGTAGAATTAAAATGGTTTTGAGCAGTTTGATTTATGCTCTGCTCCTTTCCTGTGTATTAACAGGTAGATGGAATGGACGTCCTGTGTGTCCGGGAGGCAACAAAGTTTGCAGCTGCCCACTGTAGGTCTGGAAAGGTAAGACTTTCTCTTAGGCCTCTGGGCTAGAGATTTCTAATGTTTATCTGTGCTAAAGTTAAAAGAATGCCTCCTCCATGTCTACCCTAGGTACACAGGGGTAACTGCTGACAGAGGTGTATAAGATGGAAGCAGAGTCTGGTCAAGTGAATCGGGTCCCTTCATAAATAGTGTTGTGAGGGTAGCTTTCCTCCTGGGAAACATTCCACATTGCCCCCATTTGGGGAAAATCTTTCCTTCCAGTGCTTCCTCAGCATTTTGCCTCTGTCTTCATTGTGACACTTTATCTAGTTTGCCTTTTGGTTTGGTTACGTATGTGCCTCCAACCCCCACATTAATTATAAGCTCCTTGAGTGAAAAGATTGGGGACCCCTCCACAATGCTTAGTAGAGAACTTTGCTTATATAATAATCATTCAATATAAGTTTGTCTTCTATAAATTAAATACTGTGGTTGAAGCATGTAATCTTAGTCTTGCTGTTTCAGTCCTAAGAATCTTGACCTTTCAGTTATACCGTTGGGAGGGGAACAGTGAGATTGGCCTGATAAGAGGAGTATGTGCCATCAGAGCTAGTGGGAAGACGTTCTCCCTAAATCAGTGTTCCGCAGCCCGAAAGCATGCCGAGTTTCATCTTTCAGTGACTTCTGTGTGTGTGTGCACGTGCGTACGCAGTAATGTAAATAAGATTTTGCTGACAGTGATGAAAATGAAAAAAGGGGGTAAAGCAGTCAGGGAAATGCAGAGCAATGAAAGAAAATGGGAAGAAGAAAATAGAGCGCGACAAAGATGGCAGGTTGGTGCCAGTGGGTTCAGCAGTCTACATCAGGACTGCAGGACTAGGGGTCCCATCCCCATTTCCTGAAAGATGTGAGATCCAACCCCACACAGAAACAGGAGCAGTGGTTTGTAGCATGTGTTGACTTTCCCAGCCTGACCAAAGCCTGATCTTGGAATTAGGGAGTATCTGGAAACCCCCTTATGACCACCCTCTTAGCCCAACCCACTGTGCTTCCAAATGGCTGCTGAATGACATAACAGAAAGAAGAGGTGACAGTTATTGAGGGATTGACATATGTCAGGTAAACTCTAAGCACTTTCTATGTATTATCTTACTTGGCACAACTCTGAATTAGATCATTACTGTTTTGCAGATGAGGAAACTGAGGCACAGAACACTTAGGGATACATAGCTACTGTATATTACAACCATGATTGGAACCCAAGCACTTGGACTCAGAGTCCCCCTTTTTAACTACTACATCAAACTGCCCAGGGATCCTAGATCCATCTCCCTCCCCTCTGTGTTCAAAGTATTCTTGTAGGGAGCTAGTGTAGCATGAGCAAGCTACCTAGTGGTAGCCAGGCTGGCCAGACTCCCAGCAGTGTCACAGGGTCAAGTTTCAGGGTGCTTGCCAGCTTCCTGTTACATACTAGCCAGACCTGTATGCAGCAGGATTAGGTGCCAGCCCCTACGGAACACTACCTGAAATGGGCGTGAGGTGGAAATTCACCTCCCCGGCCTATTTTTAGGTTTCCTATCCTTTTGTACTTTCCAGCACATAGAGGAGGTTTGCTTTAATCTCATTTTGTTTGAGTTTGTTTTAGTATTTTTCTCTAGTATTTTACAAGGATCAGAATGCTTATAGATGTCACCTGTGACTGGAGAAGAAAACTAGCTTAGTGACCCTGAAGATAAAAGCCATCCCCTTTTCTGCTGCCATAAGTGCTTTCTAATAGGGTTTTCTTCCTTAAACCTAAGTTATTATTATGACAAATGCAATACTGATGAAACAGACAATTCTTTATTTAATATCAGTAGGCTCTGTAACATGCTAAGTGCCTTTTTTTATTCCAAACTGGGGTCAAACAAACTGGGGCAGGCTCCTGTTTAAAATGAGAAGGAAGAAACACACAGTCAACCTGTATTAGAAATGAGAACAGCCCTGGCCGGTTTGGCTCAGCGGTTAGAGCATCGGCCTGTGGTCCAGAGAGACCCAGGTTCGGTTCCCGCTAAGGGCACGTACCTCGGTTGCAGTTTGTCCCCGGCCCTGGTTGGTCGTGCGGGTGGCAACCACTCGATGTGTCCCTTTCATGTCGATGTTTCTCTCTCTCTCTTTCTAAAAAAAAAAAAGAAATAAGAACAGATAACTTGAGAAGCAGTAAACTAATAAGAAATTCCTGACAATTCACCTGATTTATAGCTCTGATGAGAATATGTTTGGTCCTGCAATTGTGCGCATCTGAGGCCATTGATTGTTGGTGTGCAGTGCCTGTGGTCTTACCTAATCTCCCTTGGGTTCTGTTTTAGGGGCCCATACTGATGGAGCTGCAGACTTACCGTTACCATGGACACAGCATGAGTGATCCTGGAGTCAGGTATGGTCATGGGAAATATGAGCATGGTGTCTGAAGTGGGGTGGGCTTTGAATAGTGCCACTCTCAGGAAAAAGCAAAGCATTTCATTTGCTTTTGAAGCCAGACACCAGGTGTCTTCAAGTTATATGAGTTCTGGCCAGAAAGCAGTGCCTCCCAATAAAATGGTCCCAATATAGAAAGCATTCTGAAAAAAACCCCTACTATAAACAGTATCTACATGTTAGCGTGAGCAGAAATAAAATAAAACTGCAGAGAGAAATTGTTCCATAAAGCAAGTCTAATGGTACACTTATATATTGGAGGGCATTACACCAAATTCCTTTGTGGCATATTTTTCCTGAAGAGTACGAATTTGAAAATGTTCTTCTGGCTGGTATGGGGTGAGGCCAACTGGCACATGGGGCAATCAATATGTTGAAATAGATGAATCACAAAAAGATAGGTTACACTAGAAGATAGGAGTTTTAGTTGTTACTTAGTAAGTCTGGCATGTAATGCTGTGCTCCCAGAGTGTGACACAAAAGTAACAGATTTAGTCAAAGTAAGCCTTAACAAGTCTTTGAGTAATGAGTGGAGTTCTTAGGGAACATTATAAAGAGCATTTTGTATGGAAAAATGCACTTTCTGTAATTCTGTTTCAAAAAATGGTAAGAGTCCTTGCTTTTAATGTTACTTCAAATGGTATGTGGGACAAGGATGTATTTATAGATTCAAGATTTGGAAAACCTTTATCTAAGTTTTTGCTGGCTACACTTCTCTGGGGTCTTAAGGGAGAAAGGACAGGCACACTTATTTCCTGCTTGACATTTTACTGCCTCATAGTCTGTGGTTCTCACCACACAAGAACCATCCATCCCCAATGTCCCCACCCATGTGAACAGTTGGCATGGAAAGAGGGTCCACCACTTTCTTCAGACCCTACCTCTAGATCAAAGCTGCAAAGAAAGACTTGACCCCTGTGGTCAGAATGCTGGAGAATCCAGGTGAATTATAATTGCCAGTATAGCATTTTCTATAAAAGATATAAGCAGCTCTTATAGAAAGGTAGGCTGAGTTCTTGTGCTTTGAAAGTGTAATTCTGCCAATCCATCAGTGACATAGGTATTGATCTCTATCTCAGCATCATTCTTCCTTGTATCACAGAACTCTTTGCTATACTGAAACTGTTCTTAACTACTTCTGTTTCCCTCCCCATAGTTATCGTACACGAGAAGAAATTCAGGAAGTAAGAAGTAAGAGTGACCCTATCATGCTTCTCAAGGATAGAATGGTGAACAGCAATCTTGCCAGTGTTGAAGAATTAAAGGTATTGTCACTTTGTGGTTTGGTTTATTTTATTTTATTTTATTTTATTTTATATTTATTTATTTTTTGGTACATGCCCCTAGTGGGAACCGAACCCTGGACTCTCTGGTCCTCAGGCCAACACTCCAACCGCTGAGCTAAACTGGCAAGGGCTGTGGTTTAACAGTGTGCTTTCCTTTCTGAGCAATCGATTTTTCTCCCACACAAAAAGCTGCCACTCCTCAGTGAACTACCTCATGGGAAAGTATCTATTATCACAGGACATTAATCAGTCATATTGGCAGTCTTTGAACTCCCAAGAGCACAGTTCTTTTCCCATAGAAATAGACTTTGGATTTTTTTTTTTTATTCATAAGGGTTCCTTCACCAGGATATATATAGTAAAATTACTAAAAGATGTTTTTTACTGATTTTTTTTTTTCAGAGAGAGAAACTGATCAGCTGCCTCCTGCACGCCCCCTACTGGGGATTGAGCCCGCAACCCAGGCATGTGCCCTGACCAGGAATTGAACCAGGACCTCTCAGTCCATGGGACAGTCCTCAAAATACTGAGCCACGCTGGGCTAGTAAAATTACTTTAAATGTTGATGTCTGTACTACAGAATATTCCTGGGTATATCATTGAGTCACTTAGTTAAAAAATAACATCTTTGAAAATAGCAGCTATTTATTAGTGCTTCTAGTACTAGAAGAATTATAGTTATACTAATGACAGGACTAGTTGGTACCTAAATTGTTTATTAAAATTTTTCTTGAACTGTAATCTGATTTTTAGGAAATTGATGTTGAAGTGAGGAAAGAAATTGAGGATGCCGCCCAATTTGCTACAGCTGATCCTGAACCACCTTTGGAAGAACTAGGCTATCACATCTACTCCAACGAGCCACCTTTTGAAGTTCGGGGTGCAAATCAGTGGATCAAGTTTAAGTCCATCAGTTAATGGGAGACTGCATGTAATGGATGGTTACACCTTCAGTGGGCTGTCTGACAGCAACTGTAAGGAGCTCTTGTTCTCACCCATAGAATGTATGTAGATTAAGATAGTAATTGCATGCAGTTTATACAGTGTTGCATTAAAGGCTATGTTAGATTTGTATAGGTAATACAGACTTTGCTTAACCTTCTTTCAAATTATTTCCTTAAAATAGTTCTGTTTGATTTGGTTGTATACTATTTTAACAAGCACTTTGTAGTTACTGAAAAGAAAAACAATTCCTTGTATGCCTGCCCCATTCTGGCACCTTGTTGTGGGGAGGGGCTCACTTCCGTCTCTGGCCCAACCCCCAGCTAACAGCATACATTAATGCGCACACATGTCCCTGTGAGTGTACATGTTGGTTCAGAAGCCTGCTCACACTCACTACCATCCATTTCTCCTAAATAAGACACAACATGTACTGTAACCAGGCAGTGGATAGGACAGTTCCATTTTTAATAGGATTACTTAACAGTCATTTCAAAGGCCAAATAACTTAGTTATCTGCATTTTTACATTTAATATAAACACAGTTCAAAAAAGAAATTGGCTTCAAGTATAATTAACCAGTTAATATTAACTTATAACCTAAAACAGTGATGCCCAGCCTTATTTTAAACACTCATTGTTTTATCTTTGCAACAAGTGCTACAGGGTGTGCTGATTTTTTTCATTGAAGTATTTTAAAATTTATTTTAAGAATTCCATAATACTCTGGATGTCGAAATGCGGGCTCACAATACATACAGTTCTAGTCACCTTTAAAACATGTTGATAAGCAGAGGCATAAAACATGTTGATAATTGACTGGTTAAAACATTTCATTAACTCTTTAGAACTTAAAAGTTTTTTAATTGTTTATGTATATCTGAGAAGCTTGAACAACAAAGTTGTTGACTCCGTCCCCTGGCTTAAGTGACAGGTTAAGCCTTATCTTGCGTGGCCAGGGCGCCCTTAGTCTGTTTTCTGTACTGGGATACTGCAGTCCAGAGCCTGCAGAGGAGCCCGCCACTGTGAAACAAAAAAAGAGTCTTTTAGAGCCAAAAGAAAACTTCAAAGCAACACCACAGAATACTTCTTTATGGAAAAATCTATAGTATATAATTCTAGGCTTGTCTACATTTTCCCTCTTGTCTAAAAAACATAGCTAAAATAGGGTTATGTTCTTTTCACATATGGAGGTGACACTTAATGCCCCAGCAGGAGTGGGGCATGGCCTTAGAGGTATATGCAGGCATGCTAGTGGATCTGTGCAGAGCAGTCCATTTAAGATGACATAGGAACCAGAATACAGGTTGCAATTTAAAGAAGGGTTTGGGTGTAGCACAGAAGGGGGAGAGTACATCTCTTTCGCATTCTTGCTTTTCCTATGGGGCCTTTAGCTTCTGCCACCTCTTGGCTTTACTCCCAACTTGAACCTGGGAAAACTGCAGTTTTGAGTTTTCTAACTAAGCCGTAGGAAAAGGAATCAATTTAATGAAGGGGGGAAAGGCAGCAGCACTTTGTTTCCTACTACTTTATTTAAAAGCATAATCACATGGAAATAGTCATTTTCTATTGTACAGAGTGTTCTGAGGCTGTTCTTACCATAGTCCAAGGTATCTGAGGTCTTCCTTAGTGACGTCATTAAGAATGTCAGAAAGTGTATAACCCTCTTTAACAATCTGAAATAAAGATCAAATACATAGGAGTTAAGCAGCTTTGTAATAATAGCATAGGAATGTGGTTTTTTGGTTATATATTTACCTTTTCAATAGTATTCGCATCTGCTCCTTGCAGTTGCAACCAGTCTACAAGCTCTTGATGTGTTTTCTGCCCATGAGATGATGCTGGGTTCTCTGTAATAATTACAAGTTTGTTGTACTGTATATTGATGTGCAACAATAAAACTTCAAAAGCGACAAGGTAGATGAAATAAATCTTCCAGAATGTAAATGTGATGTGAAAAGGAAATAAATCCAGCCTATCTCAGCTGCTCTAATATACAGTATACAACAGTCCATAGTTCTTGGATTTACTCTCCACAGAGTCAAATAATCCTTACCTGTGACCTTTAGTTTGGAACTTGGTTGTCTATCACTTTAAATGCTTATACCCATCTTTAAAATGCATTTTCTCAGCAGTCACGTCCCTAACTGCACTGGAAATCAAAGGAGGAAATAGGTTTTAGGGAGATTGTGTGTCAGACCTCATCCATTCATGTCCCAAGAGGTAGCTGCAGCCCTTTTGTAAGCAGCACAGAATGAACAAGGCAGGTTTACTGAGGTGTAACTTATGCAGTAAACCACCTTTTTAGATATGCAGTACAGTCATGTGACCACTACAGTCAAGATACAGAAATTTCCATCACCCCAGAAAGTTCTTGTGGCCTTTTATAATAAATCCCCCCTGCCCATTCTGATTTGTTTTCTGTTCTTATAGTTTTGCCTTTAATCGAATATTGTGTAAAAATTCTATATTTATGGAGTCATAGTGTGTAGCCTTTTGAACCTGGCTTCTTTCACTTAGCATAACACATTGTGTTTTAATGTACCAGTAGTTCCTTTTTTATTATTGATTACTATTCTAGAATCTACTAGAGTACTTAACTGATTTAATAGAGAATAATCTCAATTGTGTCAAGGTTAACTAGAATATTCGCCAACTTTTTTTTTTAATCCTCACCCGAGGATATTTTTTCCATTTTTTTTTTGTTCAGATAGAGTGGAAGGAGAGAGAGAGACACATATACACACACATTGACTGGTTGCCTCCCACACGACCCCAACCAGGGCCGGGGACGAACCACAACCAAGGTATGTGCCCTTGACTGGAATCGAACCTACAACTCCTTGGTCCATGGGCCGACGCTCTAATTGCTGAGCCAAACTGGCAAGGGCTAGAATACTAGCCAATTTTTAAATGGTCTCTCACACAGACATAAGTCAGCAAGTGGAAAGTCACTCACCATTAGATCTGAATTGTGACTGAAGATGACGCAGTTCTTGAGTTTTCTTTTCTAGGGTTTGCCGTAGAAGATTCTGCTGTGCTCTCTCTGTTTGAAGTAGGTGTTCCAGAAGTCTGGTTTTAAAAAAAAAAAAAGCCATCATCCAGAGAGCCTAACACCATTCAATTCAACTCAAATATGTATTGAACATTAGAGATGGGAAAAAATGGCACAGTCCCAATGGTCAGTCTAGTTTCTTCCAAGTTCCGTGATCAGGTTTCAGCCTTGCACATGAGCAAATTCCTTGTTTCCTCCCCTTGAAAGCAAAGACCAGCACTCAGGGTGGGGAGTATATTTTGTCTCACAATGTGTCATGAACCAAAAGATAACACAGTGGAACTCAGCCAGAATGATCTGATAACTTCAACTTGTCTCCCTAAGTCAAATGAAGCCACTGAAACTAGTGGTCAAGTGCTTTCCTCCTCCTAGGGGACTAAGTCAAGAAGCTAGAAGCTGTGTTCCTGCCACACAGGAACTGGTCTCATGGATACTCATGCTGACCAGTTATCCCCAGGCAAGCAACACCATTTCGGTCAGTAGGTGCCATCTTCCTGTTCTGCCCAGCAACAGCTAAGGCACTTCCATACCGCAAGGACAGTTAGGCTTTGCAGAGACTCAATGTTAGGTATTCGCAGTTGGTACTGGTCACTATTTACTAATTACTAATTCTACCGAGACTGATAACATGTCAACAGTGGAGAATAACTTTTGAACCTATATACAACATTTTTTGAATTTGTGATTATAAACTTTACCAGAACAACATTTTTTTAAAAGTGCTAAGTATTACTATCAATTTTCACATTTGTCATATACTACCAGTTAAAACTCCAGGTTTTTCTAAAAAGAAATTATTAGATCTGCCTAAGATTAAATGTCAGAGATACCTTGGGGTGTATATAGCTTTTTTTCCAAAATATGTACACCTGGTACCTCCGCATTCTGGATGATCATAGGGCAAAAAGGCATTATTTGGAACCAATACCAACTAGTTTGCTATAGCTGTGGCTTACACTTTTCACGAGCCCATTGATGATGCGATTTCCCCTGAGTAAACAGGAATCATTGTATTCCTTTAATATTTTTTGAGTACCTATTATGTGCCAGGAAGTGAATAAAACAGACCAGCTCTTGGAGGAACCTCACAACAGTGCCAGGGTCCCTTGGCTGGGAAGGCAGTCCACGGATGCCTGCCAAGGGATCGTGACGAATCACAAGGAAGAGACTCCAAGAGGAAAGGGCAAACTTCCTTGGGGTCACACACCATCGCAAAGCACTAACCAATCCCCAACTTGGCTACTTCTGTAGGGGAGGGCTGCAGATGTCCAGTGCTGAGCCTCCTGGACCCACAGGCCATGCCAGGGACCCCATTTGGTGAAAAGACACCTATAAAGAACTCCAGGAGCTGCTGCTTTTAATATGGCTAAGTGCTGTGTGGCCTAGATTCCTTTCCCAATATTAAAGAAAGGGAGGCATTTAATCTGCCAGTTAAAGCTGAGAATACCCCCTTGCCCAGTTCCTTGGTGGTGAAGATTCTTTTTGGAGACCTGGATGAGGCACTCAACAACTAAGCTGATTGCCTTGTTGGTCCAGGTCATTGTCCCACCCCTGCTGACCTGTTGTTCTCCTTCCTTAGACTGTTGAGCTGGAGGCTCAGGTCCTGCTGAGGTTCCTGGGGCTGGGAGTCCTGGACAGGTGCTGAAGCAGGTCTGGCCCCTCCAAGTATTGCATGTGCTTCACTTCCAGGTGAATCTGCTGGAGGACTGTCCTGGTCCACCTCATCTGGGACCTTACACACCCCTTCTAATGCAGGCTCAAAGCGGGTTTGGAGTGCTGTGAAATCATGGAAGAAGACCATGGTTCAACAAGGGTTGGGGCCTCATGTAGCTTATGTTCTGTGCCAGCAAACAATGCTGTTCGGAAGCTGGCCCTGCCAATGCAACACTCTATAGGGACTGTAATTTTATAAATTGAGAGGAACTATTTCAGTCAGTTCTCTGCAGTGCAAAGGTGATTACCCCGTTTACATATGAGGAAACTGAGCTTAAAGATGTTAAGTTAGTTAGCCAAGAGAAGTTTTTAAAAGCTACAGCTAGGCTTCCAACCTGGCCTGGGTACTTTTACTACAGAAAGTTGCCTGCTTGGAGTGGGGAGTAATGCAGTCCTGCGGATAAGAGCGTCTCCCTGAGGCTGAGCTGGCTCCTGTGCATTCAGGGGAACAGGCAGAAGACAGAGAAATGCAGAGAGGAAGTGGCAGTGTCAACACAAGTGTTGCAAATCTCACTTTGTAGGAAGAAGTCACCACAGAAAGAATCAACTTGGGTATTAAGCAGCTCTAATATAGAGTCGACAAAAGCAAAATATAGAGCTACCATGGTGATTCTGAGAGGAGACCAGAGCCATTAAATCCTCAACCAACTGGCAGTGTTCCTAAAGATGCACTGTAGGATCTATGCTAACTTTTAGATCACGAGTTTAGTCTTGGTTAGGCCCAGGAGGCACATAAATATAGCGCCAGAAGAAATTCTTAGAATCACAGAATCTTAGCCCCAAAGGGTCTATGACAACATTACTTTATTGTAAGGCAGTATAGCCAAGACAGGAAAGGGAATGCAACAATTGTTGAACACAGAGGCCATTTCTGGTCTTTTCCATAGCCTGAAGCTGACCCTGACCAAGAAGCAAGCACTTACCTGGGATGAGAATGGTGACTGCAGCCAGCACTGCTCTCTGGATGATGTTATCCATTTCAGACATCAAGTAGGGGTCAATGAAGTGGTTCCGCAAAATTTTACTTACCTATAAATCACAAAAATCCAGATGTCTGGTCCATTGTACTTCTAATTTGCTTCTCTATTCTCTGAGATAAAGCATTAACCATTCTGCTCTGCATTTCTACCCTACTTATGTTTCTTCTGGACTGAGTCTTTCTCCAAGCTGACCCTAAGTAGTGCTGGGGTCCAGGAGGTGGGTACAGCGATCAGATCTATCGTGCTGGGCCTCTCTGTTGTTTATTTACGGAGCACTTACTGAGCACATATGAACCTCAGGCTCTGTGTTGGGGGCTTGGGACACAAAGCTCAGCCAGACATGGTCTTGGGCCTGCAACAACTCACATCTGTTTGGGCACACACATAAGCCTAAACCCCAAATCTAGTCAGCTGGCAGATGCCACTTGTTCCCAAATCCTACATTCCTGCTATTTGTGGCCAAAGATAACTGGCCCGTTGACCAGCAATTGCTTATTCAGTGTTTAGAAGGAAGTGCTGAAACCCAGATTCAGGTGTAAACAGGTGAGAAGAGATGGGGACTGTGAGAAAAGATGGTAATTGAACTCGATGGGCTTGGCTATGAGCTGTTTCAGTGGGTTTCCTGCCTTCTGGTATGTTTTCTAGGGCCAGATAGAGTACTTACAACATTCTGAAATCCAAACAGTACCATATGAATCTGACTGAGGGATGAGCTATCAAATTTCAGTTCCAGCTTTAGCTCTGATATCTTGGATGTCATCACTGTGTACTCCTGGGAATGGATGAAGTCCCTCAGGATCACAATTATTTGCTTGATGTGGCTGACTGAGAGGTGCAATTCTTCTGAATTCTGATCACACACACATGCACACAAAAATCAGTTTCATTGAGTAAGTCAGAGAGGAAGGAAAATTCATGAAGTATTGTGGGAAACTAGATGAACTAGATTGTCCATTATGCATCTGCTAAGGAACTGTGGATCCTCAGGTGAGATGGGAGTCGCTCTTCCTGGAATTCCCTCCATCTTTCCTGTTAGAGGGTTATGTGCCCCCTCTCTTTGCTGGCCCACACATACATGCAACTAAACCCCCCTAGGAATGGATCCACTATCTTGTTTAACGCCTTGTAAGATTCCTCGCCCCTTTGAACAGACTTTGTCAAAAGGGGCAGAGTGGGGCAGTGGCCTTTTCCTGAAAGGACCTTTCCTTATCTAAAATAAGTTATAACTCCAATATTTTCATCCATAACCTCCCTCCCTGAAGAGGTTGTTCTCCCAGAGCAGGGCAAGGGCTGGGAGCCCTTGGCTTTGTGCTGCCATTTGGCTTGTTTTCCACCCAGGGTGAGCACCACCCCACCCATGCCCAGATTCACCACAGTGTTCTGCAAACTGGTTTCAGTGGAGGTTTTTTTTTTTCCCCTCTGTATCTTCTTTTGTTTTGTGGGAGGGGTGAACATTGGGAAATACTTATGGTGATTACTGTAACTGCAAATGTAGCAGGAACCTTGGTCCCACTGGATCTGTTCCAGGACCTAGACATACTCCCTTCCAGCATGTACCTGGGCCAAGCACTCCTGCAGGGTGAAAACCACCTTGTTCTGTTCCTCCCAGAGGATTCTGTACAGGATGGCACGGCACTCGTGGTCCTTGTTCAGCGGGAGACACGGGTCCTTGTCCTCAGGGGTCAAGGCCGCGCTCTGGTCTTCTGATTCCCAGCTCTCATCCAGAATACTAACAAACACAGGTAACAAACAACCCCCGTGTCCTGTGCAAAGCTTGTACTCTAGGATCCCATGGGGGAGGGACTAAGAGGTGACTCTACAAATCACCTTCAAGAAGATAAAATTACAAGAGTCAGGCTGATGGATGAGAGATACAGTGTGTTTTCTATTCCCCTTAGCAGCAGTGTTGAGAGAGGGAGGGAAAGGGGGAGGGAGGAATAGGAGAGGGTAAGAGGGAGAATGAGGGGCAACTGAAGAGGCAGAAGGGGCAAGGGAAGAGGGGGCAGGAGAAGAGAGCCAGAGACCAGAGAGAAGAGGACAAGGGAAGGAGGAAGGGAGGAAGAAGGGAAGGAGGAAGAGCGTTGCAGGAGTGGGGAGACAAGTGAGGGAACACACTGCCCTCCCCTCCATTGTTAACCTCCTGCCATCCTATAGATTCAGCAGAAAGAAAGCAAAAGCCCTACAAGTCCATCTGATTTTGTCCTAGGAGGTATTTTGCACCCCTCCCTCCCCACCCCAGCACCCTGAATGAGCAGCCCTCACAGGCCCACAGCAAAAGGACAGGGCAGGCAGTACCTGAGCAGGTTGCAGAGCCCAGGCTTGGGCTCCCAGGCCTTCTCTAACCTTTTGGGCTGGACATCCAACTCCAGGGGGTCAGGGTCATTCTCCCTGCTGCTGCAGCCCACGGATTCCCCCTTGCCCAGGGCCGGGGCAGAGACCTGGGAACCCTCTGTGTGGGGGTAAACATGAAGGAGCAAAGGCTCAGAGATAGGGGTAAGCTCAGAGAGGCAGTGTGCAAAAGTGAGGGGCTCAGAGAGGGAGGATGCTTAGGGGCTCAGAGAAGGAGAATGCTGGAAAAGTTCAGAAAGGGAGGATTAGGAGGGGGCTCAGAGAAGGACAATACTAAAGTAGGAGACTCAGGAAAGATGCCGGGGAAAGGATCAGAAGGAAGTTGCTAGGGAGGCTGCTCAGAGAGAGAGGATGCTGGGGGGGAGGCTCAAAAATAAAGCTGTGTACTTGACTGGTGGTGCAGTGGTTAGAGCATTGGCTCATGCACCAAAGGGTCGTGGATTCAATTCCCAGTCAAGGGTGTCCAGGGCACGTACCCCTGGAGACAAACGCGGGAAGCAACCAATTGGTTTCTCACATCCAAGTCTCTGTCTCTCTCTCTCTCTCTGGAAAAAAAAAAAATCAATGGAAAAAATATTCTCCCCTGAGGATTAACAAAACTAACAACATCAAAAAAAGGGAAGAATGCTGTTGGGGAAAGCTCAGACAGGAAGGATGATGGGTGGAGACTCACAGAGGGAGGATGCAGGGGGTTAAGGTACAGAGAGGGACAATAATAAGGCGGATGACTCAGGAAAAAGGCTGGGGAAAGGATCAGAGGGAAGTTGCTGGAGGGGATGCTCAGAGAGGGCAGATGCTGGAGAGGGAAGCTCAGAGACAGAGGATGCTGCGGGGAGGGTCAGAGAAGGAGGATGCTGGGGAGAGATTCAGAAATGATGCTGGAGGGAGGCTCAGAGAAGGAGGATGCAGGATAGGAGGCTCAGAGAAGGATGCTGGGCCGAGGCTAGGTGAAGGGGGATACTGGGGTGAGCCTCAGAGAATGATGGTACTGGGGGTGAGTCTCAGAGAAGGAGAATGCTGAGTGGAAGCTCAGAAAGGGTGGGTGATGGAGGGGGGCAGCTCAGAGAAGGAGGATGCTGGGTGGAAGCTCAAAAAGGGTAGGTGCTGGGGGGTGACTTAGAGAGGGAGGATGCTTGGGGGGAGGCTCAGAGAAGGAGGATGCTGAGGCTCAGCGTAAAAGGATGCTGGGGGAGAGGCTCTGGAAGGAGGATGCTGGAGGGAGTCTCAGAAAAGGAGAATGCTGGGTGGGGAGGCTCAGAGAAGGAGGATGCTGGGGGGGGGTGGCTCAGAGAGGAGGATGCTGGGAGACTCATAGAATGAGGATGCTGGGAGGGAAACTGAGAGAGGGAAGAAGCTGGTTGGAGATTCAGAGAATGATGATGCTGGGAGGGTGTAGCTCAGAGAAGGAGAATGCTGGGGGGGGAAGCTCAGAGGAGGATGCTGGTGGGAGGCTCAGTAAGGGAGGATGCTAAGGGAGAGGCCCTGGAAGGAGGATGTTGTAGGGGGGGTAGGCTTAGAGAAGGAGGATGCTTGGGGGGGAGTGTCAGAGAGGACAGATGCTTTGTGGGAGGCTCAGTGAGGGAGGATTCTTAGGGTGGCTCAGAGAAGGAAGATATGGGAGATGGGGCTTAGAGAAGGAGAATGCTGGGTGGGAGCCTCAGAGTGGGAGGATGCTTGGGGAAAGTCTCACTGAGGGACAATACTACGGTGGGAGACTCAGGAATAATGCTAGGGAAAGGATCAGAGTTAAGTTGCTGGTGGGCGTTTGGCTTAGACAGGGAGGATGCTGGCGGGTCAGTGCTTAGAGAAAGTGAATGCTGGAAGGGAAGCCAAAAGAGGAATGATGCAGTCAGGGCTCAGAGAGGGACAATACTAAGGTGGAAGAATCGGGAAGGATCAGAGGGAAGTTGCTTGAGGGGGCTACTCAGAGAGGGAGGATGCTGGTGGGGAGGCTGAAAAGAAAGGATGTGCCCTGGCCAATAGCTAAATGGTTAGAGCATCGGCCTGAGCAAGGGAGTGTCGCTGTTTTGATTTCAGGTCAAAGGCACATACCTGGGTTGCATATTTGCTCGCAGTCCCAGGTGGAGGCGCGTGCACGGGGAATCAACTGCCGTATCTCTCTCACAATGATGTTTCTCTCTCTCTTTCTCTCCCTCTCCCTCCCTTCCACTCCCTCTATATATATATATTAAAAAATCAATAGAAAAATTACCCTCAGGTGAGGTTAAAAAAGAAACAGGGAGGATGCTGTGTGGGGAGAAGGCTCTGAGAGGGAGGAATAACGCTCAGAGATGGAGCCCGTAGGCTGGGAGAGTGGCCTCCTCAGAGAAAGATGGAGAGTCTCAGAGAGGGCCCATGATGGGGCCTGCTAAGCCTGCACTGCTCTAACTGGTGGAAACAAATACCCAAGGATCCTGGTGAAATGTATTTTATGCTTCAGCAGCTCTGTGATGGGCCTGAGGCTCTGGGTTCTAACGAGCCTGAGGGAAACACTGATGTAGCCAGTCATGTTCTGGGAGCAAGATGCTGAGATGATCTGTCCGGCCATCAGACCCCATGCACACCGGGGAAAAGAGAACAAGCGGCTTCCTTTTCAGGGGCCACCCTTAGGTCACTGCCAGTAGAACTTACTGCCCTGAAGGGTTCGCTTGGTTACAGTGGACTACCACCAGACAAACTCCCTGACATGCCCTTTAATCAAGGTCAGGAGCCACACAAAGGAACAGGCTAGGCTCCAAAAATGAAGCACTAGGCTTGTAGGTGAGGGAGACACAAAACCCCAGCCAGGCCCCTCTGGCATCCCTCCTTGACACAACCCAAAAAAGACTTTATCAAGGTGGATGGCATCACTGTCACCTGTGGGGCTCCCTTCTTCGTCAGGAAAGTACATTCATTGGTTGTGTTTGGACAACCCCACACCTGCTGCACCACCCCCACCACTCTTCACAAAAATAGGCACAGTGTGGACTCGCTTAGCACTCTGGAGAGCTGGCACTCTCTCTGAGCAACAGAGAACCCAGGGGTCCAGGGATCACCCAGCTGTCCTGGTAGGCCTCACCTGATGACTGGGCAGCAACTTGGGTCTTCTGGTCCTTGTTCACCGTCCTTAAGAAAACTTTTTTGAGCAGGTCAGCAGCAGTGGCACGTTTATGGGGTTCAGGCTCAAAACAGCATAAAAGGAAGGCTGTGGCTTCAGCTGAAAGGACTTCTGGAATCTTAGGGTGGATCTTAAACAGCCCTACCTGCATTTGAGGGAGAGATGACCGATGTGACAGTGAGGCCTCAGGGAACCCAGTGTACATGCCTTCAATACAAAACCCCCCACCTGCCATACTGTGGGGCTGGGGATGAAGCGTAGCAGCCTCAATGACTTGTACCCATGTCCAAGCCACACTGGCCTCTTGGGACATTGCTTTGCCCAGTAGATTGGGGACAATGCTGGGGGAGTTTCAGAGCCTTGGCCTTAAGAGACCTTGGAGCTTCTGCTGCAGTATTCTTGGAGCCCTGAGACCACTATGCTGGGGAGACACCCAGGGTGAAAAGCCACCTGCAAGAGGGCCTCCAAGAGCATCCTGCCCCAGCCAAGCCAGCACACGAGTGAGCCTGGGTAAGACCAGAGGGAGAACCAATGGTCAGCCCACATAATCATGGGAAATAGAAAGTGGTTGTTTTCAGTCTCTATAGTTTTGGGGTGGTTTCTTACACAGAAAATAACTGAGATGAGACTGGGAATACAGCCTGCAGCAGGATGCTCTAACTAAGGGGGTTCAAAGGTATCTGTGATCTGTTCCCTGATACATCGGGTTCCCATAAGATGGCGCACTCACCTTTAAGTATCTATGCATTCACAGCCCAAATCCCCCACCTCTAGCTGCAAACCATGTGCAGACCAAACCTGGAAGCTGGTACCTCATGGCCCATGCCCTTATCCCCTTGGGGTACAATTAGCCAAGGGAAGGGCACTTCCCTTTCCTCTTCAGGCTCCTGCTATAATTTCTGCTTTAGCTCTCACTTCTAGCCAGCTCATCCTTGTCCTGCTAAAGACTCTCTGTCCCTGTGGCATGGAGGGGAGTAGGAGTTGGGGCTGAGTTGTCACACGTCACTTTGACATGGGAATGCTTCTGCAAGTCCTACTCATCCATCTTGCATAACCCCTCTTGCATAACTGTGCCCATCAGGGCTGGCTCTCTCTTAGTGGGAGTTTTTGTCTTAAAGTTCATAATCTTCCCTGCATGTTTTCGGAGCCCACCCGATAAACCCTGGGTGTAAGCTGTTCTGGCCTCCAGATCTACCGCATCCCCTCCAGGGGCTGGCCTGGCCTCCCTTATTCTAAGAGAGATCTGGGTGCTACAGAGAATGGCCTTTCAACTTCACACCCCGAAGTCCCTTGACCAGGATGCACTTACCGTTTCTGACATGCTGCTCATTGTGGGCTCCAGAGTTTGTGTCTGGGAGGGGGACGTGGGGAATTACTAACTAATGAGCATAAGGTTTCAATTAAGCAAGATGAGAAAGTTCTAGAGACTTGCTGTACAGTATTATACCTGGGGTCAACAAGACTGTATTGTGCATTGAAAATTTTGTTAGGGGTAGATCTCATGTTAAGTGTTCTTACCACAATAAAGTAAAATTTTAAAATCAAGTTTTGGATTTTGAGAACACTAAAGCTGGATGGAATTCAACCCCAAGGATCTGAAATGTAGGGTGCGTTACAGGTGGCATTTCTCATCTGAGAGGTGAGAAAATGAGGGCACTAGGGGGACCAGAGACAAAAATTCAGGACACAGAACCCAAAGAAGTAAGAGGTGGCTCCTCCCCTGGGTCTCAGAAAGAAAAGAACAAACATGGGTGGCACCCTGGCACCTTGCAAGCATATTACTTTTAAAGGTGGTTTGCTATTTACTCAAAGGTCCCTGTATTAATTTCGCAGGCTGCCATAACAAAGTACTACAAAGTGGGTGGTTTAAAATAACAGAAATCTAGTCTCATAGCTCCAGAGGTTAAAATTCTGAAATCAAGGTGTCAGTACAGCCAAGCACTCTCTCTGAAGGATGAAGGGGAGAACTCTTTCTTATTCTCAGTTTCTGGTGGTGGCTGGCAGTGCTTGGCTTGTAGATGCATCACTCTGATTTCTGCCTTCACTCTCACATGGCTTTCTCTCTGTCTCCTCACATCATCTTCTCTCTGTGCCCAAATTTCCCCTTTTTATAAAGACACCAGCCATAATGGGATTAGGCCCATATGATTGATCCCATTTTAACTCGATTACACCTGTACAGACCCTATTTCAAAATAACGTCACATTCGGAGGTACCAGAGATTAGATTTTCAATATATCTTTTTTTTTTTTTTTTTGGAGGACACAATTAAATCTGTAACAGCCATTTTGAGGGAAAATAAATTCCTTTTGTTTCAGACACTTCCCAGAAGTTTCTTGAAAATTTTCTGAAGGATTCTAGAGACATCAGAAAATATTTCTACAGTCTTTGCAAAGAGAACACAGGGAACATTATTTAATAGTAGCTTTTTAGTTTGCAATGAAAACTGACCTTACATGCCAGCCTACAAACTCAATATATTTTCAAAGACTTTGCATAGGTAATTAGCTAACCAGACATGGCAAGAAGAGAGGGGAGAGTGACTGATGTCCTATGGATGAACTGAGCAAGTCAACAGCCTCCAGACAGGTTTCCTGAGTGCTGCAGGAAGTTGGCAGCAGATCAGAAAACAGCCAGCCATAGCTTTCAGATGGGCCCTGATGTTTTTCTCAGCACCAGCTACTATTTATTCCAAGGCCTGTGACTGAAGCAGCAGGTAAAATTTTTCATGGCCCCGGTTGGCCCCACCGTGGATAGAAATAAAAGGGCTGGGGAAGGTCTCTGTTATCCTTCAGCCCTGGTGTTCAGGGTCTTGTTGGGATTGCAAGTGACAAAGGACACTTGCCAACTTGAGTTTTTGGATTTGGATCTGCCTGACAGCTGCTGGGAGGGTGGGAAGCTCTGAGAACCTTCTGCAGGGGCTCAGCTGAGGAGAGCAGCCAGAGCAGCCAGAGCAGCCACAGCACCATGGGCTGGACTCAGCTCACGGCACAAAGCTGTACTCATGCCTTTCAGTTCTTTCTGGCAGAGGCTGAGCTGGAGGCCCTGCAGAGATGCAGGTGGGCTGAGAAGCAGGAAAGAAGGAATCATGTTTTGGAATCACATTTCATCAGGCTACTTTGATGCACTGCGACCTCACTGTCCATAAGCAGTAGCCATTTGACCTTTTGCAATCCCCCCTCTTCCTTCTTAGCCTTGGGGCAAACAAAACAGTTCCATGGGCCCTGGCCAGTTTGGCTCAGCGATTAGAGCATTGGCCTGCAGTCCAGAGAGGCCCGGGTTCGGTTCCCGCTAAGGGCATGTACCTCGGTTGCAGTTTGTCCCCAGCCCTGGTTGGGTTGTGTCGGTGGCAATCACTCGATGTGTCCCTTTCATGTCGATGTTTCTCTCTCTCTCTCTCTCTCATTCCCCCTTCCACTCTATCTGAACAAAGAATGAAAAAATGTCCTCGGGTGAGGATAAAAAAAAAGGTTCCATGGAAGGTCAGTTCTGGTAATGGATTCTTTGTAAAAAAATTTTTTTCTTTATTGATTTTAGAGAGAGAGTAAGGGAGAAGGAGAGAGAGACACAAACATCAATGAGAGAGAACATCGATGGGCCACCTCCTGTATGCCCCCCATTGGAAATTTGGTCCACAACCTGGGCATGTGCCCTGACTGGGAATCGAACTAGTGACCTCTTGGTGCATGGGTCAACGCTCAACCAGTGAGCCACACCAGCCAGGCTGGTAATGGACTCTTAAGGCTATAGCCCTCTTCAACTTTTCCAAGCATACAGAGAGCCAGAAGCCGCAGATCTGACCTTGGACACACAGGGCTATCCTGCCGTCAGCTTTCCTTGAAGTCTCCATCAAAAATGGCCCTTTCTCAAGGGAGCATGCCCAGCAGTAAAACCTCACTACAGTGGCCAATGGTCCTATGTGGGCCTCCATATACATGGGTTGCCCTTCCTGTTAGCTCTGGGAGGGTTTTATTTATAACTTGTATTTATTTATTAATTTTTAAAATTACTTCTGGGATTGCTTTTAGAATGACAAAGGAAACATCACCAGATGCCCAAAGTTCCACCTCTCCCAAATCCACTGAGAAACCTGTTCTCCAAAGACACAAACCCATGTGGCCTTTGAGCTTTACCCAGTATAAAGGCAAATACATATTCAAAACAAAAGGCTTAATTCTCCCCACTAAAAATAAGGGAAGAGACTTGGCCGGTTTGACTCAGCAGTTTGGCCCTCAGACCAGAGTCTCGCATTCAATTCCAGTCAAGGGCACGCACCTTGGTTGTGGTTTGGTCCCTGGCCCTGGTTGGGGTCATGTGGGAGACAACCAATCGATGTGTCTCTTTCACGTCGATGCCTCTCTTTCTCTCTCTCCTACTCTATCTGAAGATAAATGGAGAAAAGTATCCTTGGGTGGGGATTTTAAAAAAAAAAATAAGGGAAGAGTTATCCCTCTTTTCTTAGAGCATTTACTTTAGAAAACTAGTCAGTTCTTGGTCTCTTTGAAATGTATTGTCAGTATTTTAGAAATCTAAGTAAGCCTCTTGCCAGGAATGTCTTTCTCAATGACCCAGGAGCCATCTTTTTCAATGCCCCTATCTCCTGCTATCTATCAGACGAAAGGAGCCCTACTTTGGCGGCACCTTGATCCAAGACTACCTCCTATCTTCAAGATCTGAGGTTATTTTCTCTTTGGGTAAAACCTGTTAGCTAATACAGATGGTCACTCCAACGAATCTTAGGTGAGCTATTGTGACCAATGGTGCTGTCCTTGCTCTTAAGGACTAGTTAGCACTTCTCCTGAGAACATGGAAAGGGTTGTACTACTTGGCTCAATAAAAAGATGACAGTTATTTCTGTCTTTGTTATCTCTCAGCGGATTGCCTATGATGCACATCACACTCTGGTTGAATGCTTATTCAATACTGCAACTGTTTCCTTTCTCTTCTGTCTTTGTGGAAGGGTTTCTGACTTGGGAGGAGATTTTAATTTTAATTACATTTCCCTAACACCAGCAACCTAAATCACCAAACATGTCTTACTTTGTACATTGCTACTTGAGGATCACCAAGCTCATGGAATGGAGGCTTTCCGGTGGCCATCTCAATGATGGTGCAGCCCAGGGACCAGATATCAGCTGGGGAACCGTACCCACGAATTCCTTGATCAATAATCTCAGGCGCCATATACTGCAGAGTGCCTATTAGTAAAAAAAAACACATTGTGGGCATCCTATTGCTTAAAAACTAAGCAGACTGTTAGTAAACAAGTATGTGAACTTTAACTCTCATGTTAATGACAGATGGGGCCTGGCCAGTCTCAAGCATAAATGATGTAGTTGCATCTTTTCTTTAACCAGTGACAAGCAACATACCTTCCTTTAATATTAACCATGTTGAAAGAGGATTGCTCAGCCTCTTGAATGATAAATGGGCCCAATTCGATAAGTACATATTAACACATGCCAGACAGAGGGACACCAAAATGTAAAAAACACAGTGCCTAGCGGAGGATACAGACATAATGATGACAGTGATGATGATGATGGTGGTGGTGGTGGCAATGGCAAAATGTAGTAAGTGCTATAATAGGTGTACACAGAGGGCTCCAAAAATATGGATGGCAACTGCTTGATTATGCCTGGTTCTAGGCAGGAAAAACTGTGGCTAGGTCAATTTGGGTCTCTGGGAAGTAAATGGCGAGACAGGATTAGACATATGAGAGATTTGTTAGGGAGAAGGTGTATGAAGGATAAAGGGGGAGGGAGCAGGATGGGCAGGGGGAGCTGTTGGACTACAATGCAGGTCTGATGCCTGGGAAAGAAGAGGATGAAGGAAGAATTGGGTAGGAAAAGTCTGAGACGGCACAGTAGCTCTGAGAAAGCTCCAGACATGCCAGTAGGGAGTCTAAAAGTTGCCCACTGCAAGAATCCCACATTTGTTCTAGTACCCTCACCATGCTAAGTCATTGGCTAGAAACAGTCAGGGTAAAGCATGTCCTTGCCATGAACGTGGTGGCAGATCCAAAGGGGCAGCAGCTGGGGCTGCCAGTGAACCAGACTCCTACTGCAAGGAGGTTGACAAAGGGATGGGAGGACTTTCAGGCAAGGGGAAGAGCTTGAGCAAAGGCCCATGGATGTGAAGTATAAAGTGAGTCCAAGGAGCCACAAATGATGCCTGACACAGGGCAGGGGTGGCAAGAATGAAGGAGGCAGTGGCCAAGATGCAGCACAATGGCAAGCTGTGTATTCCAAAGGCTCTGGCTTTGGACTTTCTCCTGTGGCCCATGAACCACCAGAGGTTGTCAGAGGGAAGATGGTTATCAGGCAGGGAGAAGAGAGGCTGGCTGTTGAAAGACTGCTGGAGAGACGGGAACAGGGAGGGAAGTCAAGGGCCTGGCAGTAAAATCTTTGGATTTCCTTGAAACTAAGCCCAAGGCAAGAGGAAATGTAGAAGCAACAGCAGCAGACTATGTGCTGGCAAAGACGTTTATACTAAACAGCAAACTCAGAGATGACATGGGCTGAGGTGTGAATAAAGAACACTGTTGCCCAGAGAAATTCAAGTTCCTGTCTCAAGATCACACAACCTGCAGGTTTCCTAATCTTGATCATTGAAAAAAAAAGGGGGCTCTTGGTTTAAAAAAAAAATGTATGAAGATGCTACCTGCTACATCTTCCTTTTGAAGATCCAATGTCTTATTAGCACTTTTTCAACCAATGAGCCTTCAAAAGGCTCTAGGACAGCTCTGATCAATAGACTGTTATACACAATAATGTGAAGGTTTCATTCTGTGCAGTTTATTATGGTAGCTACTAGCCCCATATGACTGTTGAGCCCTTGAAATGTGGCTGGTTAGACTGAAAAAATTAATTTTAATTTCAAATAGTAAAAACTGTATTTAATTCTTACTAATTTGAAGTTAAATATAAATTGCATTGGATCAGTGAGTATAACAGAGCACCGGAGCAGACAAGAGCTTTGGTCTCCAGCTGAAAGCCCAGTGGGAAAGTGTTCAGTTGGCTGCAGGGTTGGGCAAGATGAAAGCTCAACATTTGTTGTGTTGTTAGGCAATCCCAGAGTCCCAGGAAGGGAACTTCCAGTAACACAATATCCCCTTCAGGCTCCTGCTGCTGTGAAACACCGAGGGAGAGGCCTTGGCAGGGAATGTGCCTTCTAACTAATCCATAGTTCATTCATTAAGGACAATTTTTGACACTGTACTATTTCTTAAGTTATCATCTCTCAGTTCTGCTATGTGATGCTGGGTCTGGGTCTCTGCAAACCACTTTTCTGCTTTGCTTGCTGCTCTGTTGGGCTCTGCTACTAGGTGGCACTAGAGCAAAAGAGCCTGGAAAGAAGGAGGAAGAAGAGGTTGGTTACTTGCACCTCCCAGCTAGTTCTTCTGAGCAAGCTTCACTCGGGAGATTCCACAAGTGGCAGCACAAGTGACTCCAGTATCTAGCTTTTTTGACCTTCCAAATACTTCCAGAACCAGATTCTTTTTGTCCCTCAGAATTACCTGTTCCAGCCCAGTGGCACCACCTCATGAGAGATTCAAGTCCCACCTTCCCTGTGCATTTTACTCCCCACCTCCCCCCTCGCCCCATAAGACCTAGGGTTGTAGACTGCTTTCTGATAATTCAGTCTCAGTAAACAGTTCTTTCTATTAAATTCTCTATGTAAAAATAGCGGGGGGGGGGGGGAGCGTGCCCTGGCCAGTTTGGCTCAGTGGTTATAGCATTGGCCACAGGACTGATTTCAATCAAGGGCACGTACCTGGGTTGCAGGTTCAATCCCTGGCCCCAAATCGGGTCATGCGGGAGGCAACTAGTCAATGTGTCTCTCTCACATCGATGTTTTTCTCCCTCTCTCTCTCTCTTTCTCTCCCCCTTCCCTCCCTTCCTTCCACTCTTTCTAAAAAAATCAATGAAAAAATATCCTCGAATGAGGATTAACCAAAAAAAAAAAAAAAAATAGCTGGAGTGATTTCAATTTTCCTGCTTGGGCCCTGACTAACACAATCACTACCAGTTAATTCTTAAAAGAGCAAGAGACTAAACTTACAAAGTTGTGCAACAATAGAAACTAGCACTAAACCAAATTGTAATGGCTTATTGACCCTGGTTGAATAAATGTCCTCCTTAGTACAACTATTTCATAATTGGAGGATCAATCTGCTTAATGATAAATTGGGAGATTTTCTTTATATAGAATCATAGTGAACACCACCCTTTCTAAAGGTAGGGACTTAGCAATGACATCCATATTAGTTATTCACTGCTATGTAATAAATTATCCCAAACTTTAACAGGTTAAAACAACTCTTAGTGTCTAAGTGTAGAAATCCAGAGATAGCTGGATTAGGTGGATATGGCTCACTCAGGCTCTCTTATTAGACCATAGCCAAAATGTCAGTGGGGGCTGCAGTCATCTGAAGGTTTGACTGGGGCTGGAGGATCCACTTCCAAGCTCACACACTCATGTGGGGGTTGGGAAGAGGCTTTGGTTTCTTACTAGTGAGATTCTCCATAGGGCAGCTCAAGACATAGCTTCCTCCAGAGCAAGTGATGCAAGAGGGAGGCCCCACTGTCTTTTCTGACCTAGCCTCCAGGTCACACATTGCCATTCTGCTTTATTCAATTCATTAGAAGTGAGTTACACAAGGGTGTGAGTACCAGGAAGTGGGGATCACTTTGGGGGAGGGGGTGGCACATCATGAAAGCTGTTTGCCACAGCATCAAACTTCTGATTAGCATTCAATGATTTACAAAGTGTCTCCACGGAGCACTGTCCATCTGACTCTCACAACTCGGTGAGTTCAGCCAGAGGAGACACTATGTACTGTTTCACATCTGAGGAAACAGGCTCAGAGAAGCCAGGGGATTTACTCAAGCTAGAACCCAGGTCTTCTGTCTCCAAATTTGGAGCTATATACCATGATATCGCTAATCTATATAATGAATCCAGGAGAAGCAGAAGTGAAGAAAAAGCTACCTGAATAAGAGGAGATAATGCAAAGATTTCCAAAGCCATAGTGTGACTTATTTCCATACCACTGGAAGCTATAGAGCAACAGCAGAAACCTGGGTGCTCCACTTTTCTTACTATGGCACTCATAGGGCAACCATTCACTCCCTGTAAACAGCCCACAGAGGGACAGAGCCATGCAACTATTTCAAATAGTCAAAGGGCTGTCCCCAGGCAGTGTGCATGCTGTGGGCTGTAGCAACGTCTGGCTTCTATCAAGAAATAAGTGAAGATGCCCTGAGGGGCATCTGAATAATGCAGAAATCCTGGAGAAACTGCTTGCATTAAAGCAGGCTCTCTAAAGGGCTTCATATCCTCCTTAAATGCACTCCTCACCAGGTGTGCCCACACACTGCTCACCCTGTCAGACATGGCTCTCAGGTACTGACACCCATGCAGGGGTAGAGTTCTGACCAGGAGTTCAATGGGTTGCTAGAGTAGAGACTGAAGGTGGAGGGTGTTGAAGGTGACTTCTTCAGAGATAACTGCAGGGAGGTCTATCCTCTCTCAGTAGGAACTGGGGAAGGGCTGTTCTCAGAAGGGTGTGGGCCCATGGTGACTCAAACAACTCAACATCCCCTCAGCATAATCGCACTTGAAAGGAGACCACATGTGTTAGCATCTTCCATGGGCTTCTAGAGATAATGTTAGAATGTCAAGTTTCAAAATTTAATATTCATAAAGTACAGAAATGAAAAGTAAGGTGCAGCTTCCCACGGCCCCAGGGGCCACCCCAGTTGTCCTGCCCAAGGGATGGACCTGGTGGGAGGGGGCCCCACTTCTTCTTACTCAGTCTTTAGAGGCTCCTTGGGGGTCTACTCAGAGCTTCATATGTATGTGTCCCATGCAGGTAAGCTGCACAGATAGCTGGTTCTCATGAGAACAAACGCAGCTTGGAGCAACAGGGTCTGCAGATATCTCCATGCCCTCTTGACAGTGGGTGAGAGGTGCACGAATCCCAGATACCAGATGTTAGACTTGTAGAAATAATGTTATAGGGCCCTTTAAAAAGAAATCTTGCCCAAAGGTAGCCCTGGGTCCCTCAGCAGAAAGAGATGGAAGGGTGAATATAATGTAAAGGGTAAAAGATTGGGTGGGGCAGGGGGGATAGTCGGGTTAAGGACAGGCCCCTGCCCACCACTGGACCAGCAGGGACAGGGGAAGAATCTGCCCCTTTGATGAGGACCAGAGCGTTGACTAGTATGGTACCCGGAACCCTTCCAAGTACTGCATGCAGATTGTGTTTGCTTCTCAAAGTGCCATTATGACTTTCTCTTTGAGAACAGACTGATAGTTGTCAGAGGAGAGGAAGGTTGGGGGACTGAGTGAAAAAGGTGAACGGATTAAGAAATACAGATTGGTAGTTACAGAATAGTCATAGAGATGTAGAGTACAGCATAAGGAATATAGTCACTAATATTTTGATAACTATTTATGGTGCCAGTTGGGTACTTGAAATTTTGGAAGGACCACTCTGCAAAGTATATGATTGTCTAACTACTATGCTGTACATCTAAAACTAATACAAAATATTGAATGTAAATTGTAATTGAAAAATAAAAACAAATAAGAATCTTAAAAAAAAGACTTTTTCTTTGTTATCGAAGGGTGGCTAGAAAAGTCATGGGAAAGGACTGGTGCCCTGGGTAGGATGTAAAGGGCAGTGGGAGACAAAAATAAAATAGCTAGTCCTGGCCAGTTTGGCCCCCAGACTGAAGGGTCTCAAGTTCGATTCCTGGTCAAGGGCATGTACCTGGATTGCAGGTTTGATCCCTGGCCCCAGTCAGGGTCGTGTGGGAGGTAGTCAGTAGATGTGTCTCTCTCACATTGATGTTTTTCCCTCTCTCTCTCTTCCCACCTCCCTCCCTTCCTTCCATTGTATCTAAAAAATCAATGGAAAAATATCCTCGGGTGAGGATTAACAATAAATAAATGAATAAATAAATAAACAAATAAATAAAATGGCTGTTATGATTATACCCTCTAAGTCCGACTTGTTTAACATGTTAGTTATACCCATAAATTCAATTCTCTCAAAGGCTCCTGCCAGCTCTAATAACCTGTGACTTCTAAGTGTAAATTAGTACTTATTTATTTAACAAATACTTCAGTTGAACTTGCTATAAATCAGGTACTTGTCAAAGCACTTCACCAATATTAACTCATTAATCCTCATAAAAGCTCTATGGAGTAAGTACTGTGAGCATCTCTGTCTTACTTGTGAGGCAACTGAGGCACAAAGGGGTTAAGTAACATGCCCAGGTCACACAGCTAGCAAGTGATTAAGCACAAATCTGAAAGAAGAATGTTTGTAGTCATAAATCAGAACACAGTTCCTGTCTTGAGTTCCACTCCTCCGTATCAATCCAAGAAGGATAAAAACATGTGTCCACACAAATGCTTGCGAATGTTCATAGCCATGTCATTCACAATAGCCCCCAAGGTGCAAATAATCCCAATGACCGCTAACTATTAGGTGAATAAACAGAATGTGGTCTAGCCACACAGTGGAAGACTATTCAGCCAGAAAAGGAACCAAGTGCTGACACCGGCTATAGCATGGTGAACCTCGAAAAGATTGTGCTATGAAAGAAGCTCCATGCAAAGAGCCATACACACTACAACTCTTTCTGTGAAATCTCCAGAGAAGGCAAATCTAGGCAAACAGAGGGTAGATCAGCGGTGGCTTGGGGCTGGGTGGGAACAGGGATTAACTGCAAGGTGGCATAGGGACCTTTTTGTGGGCAATGAAAACATTCTAAACTTAGCTTGTGGTGATGGCTGCACAACTAGGAAAACTGACTAGAAACCATTGAATTTTGCACTTCAAATGAGTGCATTTTATGATATGTAAATTATGCCGAAATAACACTGTTAATAAACAAAATCAAAGGGGGCTGAACCTGGCCAAAAAGGCCCTTCCTCCTATTCTAGCTGTTTTACATGCACGTGAAGAGGAACACAGGAAGGGAGGGTTTCAGGCCAAGAAGTTGCCCAAAGCCTTTGGTTTTCCTTTCAGGCTCCAAGAGCATTTGGGCATTTGTGTGGAAAAGGCCCATTGAGTCCATCTGCATCAACCAGCTGAGATTTTTTACAGAACTGCTCTGTTTTGCAAAGAGTAATTATATGCATGGGAATTTCCAAACCCAAATAATACCTCTTTTTCTATTATTCTCCAAACATCCCTGCATTATTTTGTAGTGCAAAATTCATGCCTCCTCAAGCCAATTACTTGGGAAAATGTGATATGTGATAATGAATTATACATGTCTTTTCTTTGTGAATTTTTTTTCTCCTTGGGGATGCTAATTATGAGATAAATTATTGGGGATTTTATGCCTTGAAATAACTTCTTGTCATATCAGAGTCCCTCTTGTTACATATTGCCAAGCTAATTGGTGGTTTCCAAAGAGAAGAATATAAGTAATTTTCACTTAGGGTAATAAAATGTGCAAGTGTGTATGCCAGTTACACACACATACACACACACACATACACACACACACAGTTTTATACCTGTTGATATATGTATATTTATATGAGAAATAATGAATGACTTTTCAATACACTCTTCCTTTGGCAGATTATGGTGGAATCCTTGGTGTAATATTTTTCCATTTTGAGGTATATGTACCTCCTCTGGTTTACAACTGAAAAGTCATTTCTGATGCATAAAAGTTCCCTTTAGATATGGAATGTGTCTCTATTGTGGGTGCCCAATGGACAACATATAACAACTCCCTTGTTGAATAAAAGTCTTCCAAAGATGAGATATTATTCACCTAAGCTAAGGCCAAATCTGTCCACTGTACAGCTTGGTGCTACAGGGACACAGAACAGTCATCTGGCTTTTATAGCTTATTTCAGAGCTATAAAATTACAAGTGTTGTTTCATAATTCCATCAACCGAGATCTTGATGATCCTTTTATTATACCTTAGGGGTTCATAAACCTTTACTTATCCAAAATTAGTATGGTACTTCTTTCCAAAGATTTAAGTTTTTGCTATAGTTGCTTTTAAGCAGGAATTTCAAAAAGCCGTAGGTAGCTTTTGAGCATCATTCTACCCATTTGTCTTGTAAATGAAAACCTAACTGGCAATTTTAGACCACTCTGTGACACCAATCCCTCTCAACACGTAAATGATCTATCACTGACACATGGAAAAGAAATTCCAATCCCTCAAACCCACATAGAGTACCATATTCCTGCCCTTGGAAACTTAATCCTATGGAAGCATGAGGCACCAAAATTCATTCTAGTAACAGGCTATTTTTATGACAGACCAATAAAATGTCCTACTAAGTTGTCTGAGGAACACTGTTGTTTAGAATTACCCACAATTCCAAATTACATGCCGTTAACTGACTGGTTAGAAACTTTAAGAAAACCTCAAGCAGAACACTACACCTACCTAACCTTTGATGGCAAAGAAGAAAGTAAGGCAATCTTGCTGCCACAGTAGCTGGCTAAGTGCATCATTATGACCAAGTTCAAACAATTTGAAGTTGGAAAAAATACACCATCCACTTCAGTTATCAATTGCCCACATGCCAAGCTGTTCTGCTTACCAGCAAAAGTCTCTGCACATACATTCACTCCTACAAGACGTTTAGAAGTTCCAAAATCAGAAATTTTCACCACTCCACTATAGGTATTCACCAGAACGTTATCACCCTTTAGAAAAGGAAGAACATCAAATGCTTAAAGATGGATTTCAAAAAATGAACACAAAACATATTTGGATCTTAAGAAACAGTGATCTGAGATGCAGTAACGAGACCTCTTTGACTCAGACAAGGAAGTACCTTTATGTCTCTGTGCACAATTTGGTTTTCGTGGAGATACTTAAGGCCTTGCAGGATCTGTTTGGTGTAAAACTTGATGGTGGACTCCTTTATCACCCCCCACTTTGATTGCAAAAGAGCAGAAAGGCTTCCTGGAAATGAACATAGCAGAAAACTCATCAGGGTGACGAAGATTAAATCCTAACATTCAGGGAAATAAAGTCAGGTGATGTTTCTATTCTATTATAAGCACTCACACCAAAATCTTTGTAGCTGGGCTAAATGCAATACCTTACCTCCCCTTCTGTTACCTGTTCCCAATGTAAGAGCAGCCAGAGAAGGGACTAGAAGTGAATCAGCACATCAGTCTGACCAGAGGAGGTGGAGGGTGAACCTGTGACCCTTGTGACCCTGGAAATTCAGGGGAGCCACCTTTCAGTTTAGCTCTGTTCAGCTGTACAAAGTCAGAAAAAGAGTGCAACAAGGTTCTCTGACCTTGGGAGGGCTGGCCCAATACTGTAGATCCTGGACAAGTGTCTCAGCCATTCAGCTTGGGTCAAAGCCACATCTTGTACCTTGCCCTGAGTTCAGAGGTGGACAGGATCAGAGGGAGGGGCTTTTTAGGGTGACAGGGACCAGGATCAGAGGAGGTTGGATCTCTCTGTCCTTACTATGAGAAGCTCCCAAAGCCAGGTCATAGAGACGGGCCATCTTAGCAACCCCACTGCAATCATATGATTAAATATTGAATCTTTGGGTCCAAAGTAAACCTCCCTTCACTTCATTCTGATTATCTGTTTCAGAAGTCATTGTACAGGCCCTCGGGCATCAGCCAGTCTCAGCTTCCCCCCTTACCCAGAGTTGTGGGGAACCTTGCTGTGCTTCACTTTCCCCATCTGCAAAAGGGGATATACACATCTATTGTCATCCTTAAACCTCATGACTGGAATATCAATTAATGTGAACAGCAACTGACATATTTTCTGTTACACTGTGAGCAACCTGAGGAAAGAAGAAACTTTATTTCTCTTTAATGTAACCCTCAAAATCAAGCCCACTGTCTAGCTCTGATATATATAGTTAGGCTCCTAATATAATAGTAGGTTCCTTATAATTTTTGGTTGAATAAGTGAATACAGATTTCTAACTGAAGTTTTTACATTTGTATTGAGACCATAATTATAATTATAATTTCATTATTATTTAAATAAAGAGTTCTCGCTCTCTGCCATGCACCATTTTAAGAGCTTTACATACATTTTTCTCTTTTAATCCATCCAAAACCCCAGTAAGATAGGGTCAATTTTACTCCAATAATTATTACTACACTAATTATTATAGTAATTGTTATTACTCCAATTTTACATTTCATTTAGTGAATCAGAAAACTGAGGGCACAGAGAAGTAAAGAATTTGCCTAAGGTCACACAACTTGCAGATTGGAAGGACTAATTAAAACTACATGATCTGGTTCCTGACCCAAGGAACTCCTACTCTTGCACCATACTGCTGCATTTGGGGATTTTGTAGATAAAGCACTAGTGTTCAGTTTCACTATCAACATATTATTTTACAATGTCATTTTTTTTTAAATCCTTACCCGAGGACACTTTTCCATCTATCTTCAGATAGACGGGGAGGGAGGGAGGGAGGAACAGAGAGAGAAAGAGAGAGACAAACATCGATGTGGGAGAGACATCGATGGGTTGCCTCCCGCACGACGCCAACCAGGGCCGGGGACGGAACCGCAACCAAACTACGTACTCTTGGCTGGAATCGAACCCGTGACTCTTTGGTCTGTGGGTTGACGCTCTAACTGCTGAGCCAAACTGGCCAGGGCTGCAATGTCATTTTAATAAACCTCTGTCCTGCCTTATCCAAACTACTTTTAAACTTTTGGACTGTGAAGGCCTCAAGACTGAAGACCATGCTTTACTCATCTCTGTCTCCATCACTCAGCCCAGTGGTTGGCACTCAGTAGACCCTTAGTGGAAATTTGATGATTTAATTAATAAACCAGAAATAGACTGTTATGTAACATTGGAAAGTTTACATCCAACTCCTCTGAGAAACAAATGATTTTTCACATCTGAGAGGTCTGTCATTTTTTTAAATGGCAGGATGAATAATGATGTGTATGTTATATTTCCATCAGTTATTTTCAGAGTGTGAGACCTAAAGACCAGAGACTACTCACCCCCAGGCACCTGCTCCATGAAGATCTTAATGTGGCCATTCTCAGAAACAGAGCCCAAGTACTGAACAACATTGCGGTGCTTGAGGTTCTTGTGCAGAGCTATCTCCTCATGCAGAGGCTGGGAGTGCCTAGTAGGACAAACAAAGCCGGTATCACCTGCCAAATCCACATTATAGCTGGCCATGTTGCTGGCCATCCCTTCTTTCTGGAAATTTTCTCTCTTTAGGACCCCATGAGCCTACTAGCTTCCCATCTGTAAATCAGAAGTACGTAGTAATACTAGCCATACAGAGCTGCTGGAAGTCAAAGTGGGTCCAAGTTTTCAGGTACCCAGTGGAGTGCCTGCTGTGTGGTAGGTACTCAATAAATGGCTGCTGTTGTCATTATCACTAGTGTTAGGGCCTGAACTCTCCAACCATCCTTGGCCTCTCTCACCATCCCCCATGAAGAGTGGTGTTCTAGAAGGTTCTGTCCTCCAGACTTCCTAGTCTCATTCTGTAGACTCACTCTAGACTACAGCAGAAACTACCTAATAAACCTTCCTGTCCCCAGCCTCTGGTCTCTTTAGTCAATTCTATCACAGCCACCATATTCCCTCTTCTTAAAACATATACCTCATCATTTAACTTCCCTTCACAAAGTCTACATAAAGACCATATTGTTTAACGTGGCACACAAGGGCCTTCAAACTCAGGTCAGACTTTTAAATTTTTTGCTTCATCTCAAGAGCTCCTACTGTCCCACGTCCTACATTCAAGTCACAACAGACAATTTGTTGTTCTCTGAATACACTGTGCTTAACAGTTTCTGTTCTTCCCTCAGCATTCTTGCTCTGGCTTCTTTTTCTACCAAGCAAACTCCTAGTCATCTCTCAAATACCTCCTAAAAGATTATTTATTTTATCAAATTTGCCACAACTCACCCAGAAAAAGTAATTCATTCCTCTCCTATATTATACAAACACTCTATGTACCCTCTATTATAACACTTGTCACTCTGGCTCCCAGGCAAGGTTACTTCATTCCCTACCAAACAGGGAGCACCCTTGGATAAGGACAGTATCTTAGTAACCTTTCAGGCTCCAGTATCATCCCAGAATCTGTCACAGAGAAGATGCCCAATATTATAACTTCAGCCTGCAAATTTAAGAAATGGGATAAAACAGTCTCTAAGGTTCCTTCTAGCTCTGAATCCCAGGAAAAACTATCAGCAATGAATAGCTGAAACAACTATAGCAATCAGTTGAAGGAGGTGGTACTTGTCAGCAACCCCCCCCAAAAAAAAATAACCCCCCCAACTGCAACATCTTAGCCAGGGTGAGAACAAGAGACAAAATACTGAACGACGAATTCAACAGACTGGAACCTAGTCTTGTTTCTTCAGAACCTTAAAGAAGTCATTAATTCCTCCTCAAACTTGGAAGAAGTTAAATAAGTTCTTCTTAGGTCTTGCCTTATAATTCAAATATCATAACATGCAATACCATTAAAATGAATAGATGAAAGTGAATGGATGAAAAAAACCAATGAATGATGAAGGGTCTTATAGCTGCTAGAAATCACTTGTTAGCCATCTCCAATAATTCACTGACCACCTGGATGGAGAGGTGTTTGCACATGGCCATCAGTGTCCAGCACTGAAGGCAACACTGCAGATATAGTCTGACCACACCTATGGAGCATGTTGCTATTATTTCTTATGCTGTGGCCATTACTGTGCATGCAACTTCTCTAAAAAAACACTTCACAGTTAGCACTGCAATGTACTTGTTTAGAATTAGGTGGGAAATAAACTTAAAAAGAAATAAATATTTAATTAGATTCTAAAAATGTTGAAATGAGTTAATATTACTGTGATTTTAAAAAAACAAAATCTATGGGTGGGGTTGAGGGCAGGGTATAAAAGAAATCTGTGTTGCAAAAAGCTAATATTTTTTTTACCATTCAGTTTTCTGTAATAATACATCTGAATAAATGATAGCCATTTAAAATGGTTACAATGTGAATTAAACCACCGAGTTACATTTTTACATATTTGAAAACAACTACGTAAAAACATAAAACTGTAGACCAAGTTGATGGGTGGAAATAAAACTAGTTTTCTTTTTTTTTCCTTTATTGATTTTAGAGAGAGAGGAAGGGAGAGGAAGAGAGAGATAGAAACATCAATGAGAGAGAACATTGATTGGCTATGTCCTGCATGCCCCCCACTAGGGATTTGGCCCACAACCTGGGCAGGTACCCTGACCAAGAATCGAACTGGCAACCTCTTAGTGCATGACGCTCAACGACTGTGCCACACCAGCCAGGCAAAACTAGTTTTCTTTTAAAAGTATGATTGTGCCCAGCCAGTGCGGCTCAGTGGATTGGGTGTCATCCCGTGAACTGAGAGGTCCCGGTTCAATTCCCATTCAGGGCACATGCCCTGTTATGGGCTTGATCCTCAGTAGGGGGCATGCAGGAGGCAGCTGATGGATGTTTCTCTCTCACATCGATTTCTAGTTCTCCCTTCCTCTCTCTCTAACAAATTAATAAAAATATATTTAAAAAAATAAAGTATGACTGCAATCCATGTGCTTCTAAGTGAAATGATTCCATTTTCTCAATCTATTCATAATATACAGAGAACAAAGGCAAATCAGCCTTATTACAGAGAATTGCAAAAATTTTGATGACATAATGTTCTCATCCTTAAATCCTCTGCACCATTGGTGGTGGGCACAGGATTTGATTGTGGAGGTGGTGACTGAAGAAATGTGGAAGGTCCACCCGACTTGCCTGGTATCTCTCTCTGGGATTTCTTTGATGGCAATCAGTATTTGATTATTCAGATCTCTCCCGGCATACACGATCCCGTACGCACCTCTCCCCAGCACAATTCGATTACCACTCGGATCACGGTCATACTCATACTAAAGGAAAAGCAAGACAAAAAAGCACACGACTTGTGGAGAAGTCCCAAAAAGCCCAAGCATTGTCCTGTAATTTTTAAAAAAACTTATGAATAATGTTATTTGAGTACCAGGCAAGTCATGTTTCTTAGGTTATGTTCTTTTCATTAAATACTTTAAAGGGGTAGAATTCTCAGTTATCCATATATTCATAACATGATTTTATGAAATGGAATCCAAGAAATTTAAAAATATGGCTCATTTGAAACTTAGCTGGTTCACCTTTTGGAGATTTCTCCTCATTTTAATGCTGTACTTTAAAAATGTTTCTTAGCATGTTAACTACCCAATAGGTGTTTTCCTCCATGACCCTTCATCAACTTGTTAGAAAACAAACCTTTTTCTATAGCCCAGAAAAGAATTGGAAGGTCAATAAAATTGAAACTGTCTTAATACAAAGTACATATGCTGGGCTTCCCCACCTCAGATGTATAAATCTAGTATTACACACACTATAAAAATTGACCAATAATTAGGATTGCTATTTTGTTCCCCCAAATTTATCATCAAAAGTTGGTGCACAGTTGCATTCAAGTTGGTTCTTCTCAAAGATGAAAACAAATGGAACTCTAGGCTGAGCAATATGTAATGTAAAGCAGAGGCAGCAACGGATTCTCTCTGTCATTTCCTATGCTCTACTGTGCCAACTTACAGAAGTGCACAGAACAGCGTGTGTGCATGTCTCTTCCCATATACTTCTAGGGGTGCTCATGACAATTATGACTACTAATCAATCCCCATCACCGTCTGATTAAACCAGACATCATCAGCCTGCACCATAAAAAGATTTTGTCTCATACTTTCTCTGCCCCACACCTGTTACCTTTAAAGTACATCACTCAGTTCATTTCTACAATAAACATTGATTCTAAGCTAAGAATTCAAATGCCTGACTCAATTATTAAAATGACCCCCTTGACATTTTTCTGAAAGAAGCCCTAAGGAATTTATTTCAGTGTAACTTGAAAGCATAATAAAATTTCATTAAATTGTAATCATTGGGAGAACCTAAATTAATGGCAAATCTAAATAATCGGCACAAGATTTAAATATATGTGTAATGGTGGACTACAACTGTGCTGTTCAAAAGAGCTTATGGTGATCCTTCTTTCTCAAAAATGATTTAAAAATTGTTCTATTTAATATATTATATGCAAGTAGATATAACTAAAGTCACTGTAGGCATAAATGAAAAAGTCTGCTTCTAGTTGGTCAACTATTTCTCATGTAATCTCTCAAACATGATTAACTGGTTTAGAAAAAAAAGTTTCCAGAGGTTGTGCATAACAGAAAATTTGATTCTAGTCCATGCCAGAGTTTTCTTAAACATCCTGGCTGAGAGGACCCCTAGGTAAGTTTTTCTGTAGAGATGTATTAAATTTAACCTCTGAAAGTCATGGATAGAGATGGTTAGTTTTTTCATAAATGAGTATTTTTAAATATACATATAAAACGTTTTCACACAAAATGGGGCATTTTCTTTAAGCATGTTCTAGGTCTTCTGTGACTCACCTCTAAGGTGTCCCCATCGAACTCTCCCTCCAGCTCCACTGTATTGCCCACTGCATTTGTTATCATCTCTTTGACCAAAGAGTAAAACCTAGAACAACAAATGTTACGACGATGCTGCTAATTACCATCACTTTTGTTCTCTACCTTTACTTATTACATTGAATTGCAATTAAATATAAACCAAGCTTTTACCAGTTCATGGAACAATCAATCCACTCCTTGATTTGACCTGATACTTTAATGGTTATCTAGTCTAGTTCAAATACCCACATGATACTTGAATCCCCTCTATACAGTATCCCTACCAACTGGCTAGCCAATTGATGCTTGAACATCCCTAGTGACAGAGAAGTCATTACCTCACAAGGCAACTCATTCTTTGGAAAACTCAATGAGAAAATTTTCACTTATATTGAACTAAGACTTCTTTTATGTGGATCTCCACAGATTCCTTAGAATTAATCCCCTTTATATACAACAGTCCATTAGAAAAAGTACATAATTTTATTATGTCCCTATAAGTCTTTCCTCCTTGTTCCCTCAATGTTTTCCCCAGGACTTATTTGTGAGTCACTCTACTAACAGATAATTCTTCAAAGGTGTTCCTGTATTACTCTTCAAGTCTGGCCCTGTGACAGGTGTCCCAGGGATGATTTAATAAGTAAGGACAGTGGGATCATCACCTCTTAAGTTGTAGACACTCTATCGGTTGGAAATAAAGTCTTGTATAGGGGAGGTGTGAGGAGGAAATGCACAAAGTAGCTTCATCATTCTGTTGACATAGATTACACTTAATTATCAACTATTAACCATAAATCTTTCTCACAACTGCTTCTGAGTCATAACAGCCACTTTCTAGATTTGGGTAGTTGTTTATTTGCAAATAAGTGATTTGACTCATTAGAAATTTTTCTTCAGTATTCTCTGGTAAGATGGTGGGGAAGGCTATTGTAAAAATTAAGATCATTTCTCAAAGTCTGGCAATTTCTCAAAAGGTTAAACAGTTACAGTAAGACCAAAAAGAGAAATGAAAACATGTCCACATAGAAACCTGCATGCAAATGTTCATAGCAGCATTATTAGCCAAAAAGTGGAAACAACCCAAATGCCTTTAACTGATGAAGAGATCAATTAAATGTGGTCTATCCATACAACTGATCATTATTTAGCCAAAAATGGAATGAAGTACTGGTACATGCTACAACACAGATTAACTTGAAAATTTTATAGTAAGTGGAAGAAGTCAGTCACAAAAACCGACTTATTATATTTTCTTTATATGAAATGTCAAGAATAGGAAAATCCAAAAAGACAAAAAGTAGATTAATGGTTGCATAGGGCTGGGGTTGGAGGGAAAATGGGGATTGACTGTAAATAGATACTGAGTTTATTTTGGGAGTGATAAAAATATTCTAAAATTAGATCGTGGTGATAACTGCAAAACTTTAAAAATACTGAAAAAAGATTAAATTGTATACTTTAAATGTTTGAATTGTGTGGTATGTAAATCATGAATCTCAATAAAGCTATAAAACTAATTTTCTATAAGTTAAAATTTTCAGGAAAGGCAGTAGAGCAAATAAATATTTTTCACAACAAAGGCCCTTTTAAAATGACTCGCCATAACTAGATTGCAAATACTTGAATGAGCTATAACTCACCTACTACAGTGCTCTTTGGTGGAAAAGTAGATTTGAAAATCATCAGAATTATCATGGACGTAAAGAAAACAACACCGTTCATCAAACTTAGATATGCTGTAAAAATTCAAAACATAAGAATGCTTCTTATATATGCTATTAATTTTTTTTTAATTTTGAGAAAAGTCTAGTAACAAATTTTCTTCCATTTTATAAATTTTAAGATTCATTCTTTTAATGAATATCCTCAAAATTTGACTTCTATTTCTCTATGAAATTTAAATAGTAAGGACCATTTATCTTGCTTATATTTGAGTTTGTATTCATCAACTGACTTTATTAAATATCAAGAACTTACTATATATTCAGTGCTAAGCAAAGCAAATGGGCAGCAGAAAAAGGGATAAAAAAATGGTTTCTGTCCTCAAGAATTTATAATTTCACAAAAAGGACAGGAAAGTATTTGTGAAACAATTTATCATAATAAAGGAATTTCTAGACTTAAAAAATATCAGTACACAGTAATTGTAGCCATACAGGGAAGAAGAAATAAACATGGCATCTTAGCTCAAGAAAGGCTTTTAAATGTTATCTGTTCCATCCTCACTCAGGGTCTGGATCTGACTCTACAGCTTCTTGAACAGATAATATTAAGCTTGTCTGAACATATCCAGTGACAAAAAAACCCCACACACTCCATCTGCTGATAGATTTCACTGACAGAAATTTCTTTCTTTCTTTTTTTTTTTTTTTATCCTCACCCGAGGACATTTTTCCATTTTTTGTTCAGGTAGAGTGGGAGGGAGAGAGAGGAACAGAGAGAGAGAGAGAGAAACATCGATGTGAAAGGAACACATCGAGTGGCTGCCACCCGCACAACTGACCAGGGCCGGGGACAAACTGCAACCGAGGTACGTGCCCCTAGCGGGAACCGAACCCAGGTCTCTCAGGACCGCAGGCCGACGCTCTAACCGCTGAACCAAACCGGCCAGGGCTACTCACAGAAATTTCTTTACCCACACTGGGCCAAAACCACACAATGGCCCTCATTTTGCCCTTTCTAAATCATCTCTTCCTGAGGTCCATAGATCCTTTGATCATTTTTCATATGTTATGGATTACATGACAAATATTAGATTGAAATGGCAATAGTACAGGGTGATTCAAAAAGAATTAAAACTAGGTTATATACAAGTAAGTTTTGAAAACCAAGCTGTAAAGAAACTACCACAGTTAGTTGGATAGCACTGCGAATGTTCAACACATGCTTTTTATATCACATTGGCCCCAGGGCCTGTTTCACCCCAGGCCCTTTGCATATCCCTGCTGATGGTTGAAATGACAGCAAGAGGTATTTCTTCGAGAGGGTACAAACAGAAGGTTCTTGACTACATGTTCTCATACAACTTAGTTACTGAGTAAAACATTTTTTTAAATGTTCAATGCTTTTTGAATTATATTTTCTGAGCAGTGTTATTCAAATGCCCTACTCTGTTCTTAAGTTATTTCTCTCCCTTTAAAGTGATGTAAACACTATTCTAATTTAAACAATGATATGTCTAGGACAGGATCATACTGTGTCTGGAGGTAACAGATGATTCATTCAGTGGACTCAGAATCAGAGAAAGGACATAGAGCTATAGTCCAAGCCTTTAATTTGATGGAAACTAGAAGAAACAGAGACCCAGAAAGGCTGAGTGACTTTACCAAGGTCAAAGAGCAAAAGAGGGAATAGAACTCATATCTACTTCAGACCTGCTCCCACCCTTGGATGTGCTGGCAGGGTGACACTCAAGAGTGTAGCCACACAGTTCAGACCCAAATGGTCACCTCTCCTAACTCAAATAGCAAGCACCACACCTCTCCTCAGAACACACCACCCTACTCCCTCACTAATAACAATGCCCAGATCTCAGCCAAGTGTCATTACCAAGTAACTCCCAGCTTTAGTTCTGGGGATGGGTGTAGTCCCTGAGTAGTTGTACATTATTGGATCCAAGAAGAAACACTTTCTCTTTCTACAGATATAACTTCATTAAAAAAAAAAAGTTTGAGATGAGAGAGTTTGGTCTGTTGCATACAAAATAAGCTACTCTGTTATAACAAGCCAAGAAGTCCTTATTAATTAGCAACACATTATGAATAAGCTCCGGTAGGGCAACAAAAGAGAAAATAGTAGTCCATTTTTGATTCCCTTAAAAATTAGAATATTGCATATTATAAATAAGTGGAAACATTAAAGTAATAAAACATTATCATTATCTGTGTTAAAAATAATTACTTTTCCCTTATATTCTTACCTTACTCCCCTAATGGTAGTGACTGTAAAATTCCATTCATGGATTTGTTTCTGCAGGTATGAAAGACAAAAGTCAGTAGCTTAATTTTTTCCATGCAAAGAATAATTTTTTATTTCATTCTATGGTCAATCACTTCTGCTATTTTACTTTCAATAGAGGTTTAGGAGTTAGAGCAACATCTTTTGCATAATTTGGAACACCAGAAACATTTTCTAGTATATTATAAAAATTCATCTGTTTTTTCTAATTTAGTTTAAAAGCAAATTATGTAAATCTGAAATAGAAACAATAAGCACATAAGTCCACACAGTGCTATAAGGAAAAATAAATCAGGGAAGGGCATTAAAGTGGGGCAGGAGGTCATGATGTTAAACCAGATGTTCACGGAAGGCCTGATGATTTTGAACAGAAAAAGTGGGGGTGAAGGAGTGAGCCATGCAGACATCTGGGAGAACAGTACCAGGCAGCAGAAACAGCACGTGCAAAGGTCCTGAGGTAGCAGTGTGCTTGGCACATTTGGAGGCCTGCAAGGAGGGGTCTGAGTGGAATGAATGAGGGGGGGAGTGGTAGAGGAGGTTGAAGAGTTCATGAGGGAGATCATGCAGGGCCTTGGACTTCAGCTTCTACCCTGTGTGAGATGGGAAGCTACCTAGGGCTGTAAAAAATGAAAACATGAAAGCCATGACAGCAGATCCAACCATGCAGAGAAATTGAATGTATTTCAGAGGAGAGATGTGTTCAAAGTCATAGAAAGAGAGTAGTGGTGGAGAGCAGGAGTCTGCCTTTGGATCCAGGTACAGAAATATGAACCAGGGCAGATTCAAGAGAGCCCTGTCTGACCCACATACCACACCAAGAGGCTGCACATATGTATAAAACTCAGCCACACAAGTTTTCAAAGTATTCCCAGATGGTAGGGAACTTCTCATTTGGGGAGAAAGATTTACTAGTTAAGAAAGTAAACACTATGGACCTCCCCTCTTTCTCTTTATGTCATAATCAATAGGCATTTGAGAGGGGGGGGGGTACCTGCTTTGTAGGACCTCCGGATATAAAAACATGCAAGTCACGCATGGGCTGGCAATGTAGTTGGGGAGACATTTAGAAAACTGATAAATAAGCAATAGGCTGTACTTTGTACATGATACAGGCAATGTGGTAGCCTACAGATATTCAGTGGAAGGGTGGTCAGATATGCCTTTGCAAAAGTTAGGACCTGGGTAATTAGAAAAAGGAATTCTAGGGAGGAAAAAGAATGAAAACAAAAATGCCAACATGAGCCCTGCTGTGCCAGCTCAGGGACGGTAAGGGGCCAGTAGGAGGACGGAATAGCAACCATTATTGTGACTTCTACTTCCACAGAGACTTTTGCCTGTTCTAGAATATTACATAAATGAAATTGTGAAGACTGTGCTCTCTCGTATCTGCAAGTAGAACTTGTCAGGAACTCTGGTAGGGAAGGCAGGACTGGATGCACTGTTTCTGATTTGGTGTCCTGGTGGGTCAACTGGCACTGAGTACTCGATCAGGAAACCTGCGACTGTTTTCCTCCTGTTCGAGCCTTCTGTTAGGCAGTGTCCTAACCTTTTCTGAGAGGGGATATTTAATCATATCTAAATCACGATAAGGAAATAGAGTCAAGATTGTTGTTTTTCATGTCAGTGTCAGAAGCCCCCAATAAAAGTGCACAGAAAGCAGAGCCAGGGTAGGCTATGGAGAAATGGTCTGGGAAGCCAGAGGGAGGGAACCCCTCCAGGATCCCATGGGCACCAGTTGGCTTCTGCCCTCCTGCCCCCAGAATGCAGACTTTTGGGGCGGAATCTTGGGTGTCTGTGATAATTTTGTGTTAAGAGCATACATTGCTTGTGTAAGTTTTTCCTGTTTCTGACATAAGCATAAAAGGTACTCAAAAAAAGGTCTTCCCAAAACCAGTAGCCCTACCTATGTGGACAGTGTTGGTGGCCATTATGTGCCTGTTGGTGCCTTTGAGGCCCATGAGGAGGTGAGGTAGAAGTACTGCATTTGCTCCTGCCCTGTGAGAAACTTCCTTGCATTGATGTGTGCAGCTTGTGCCAGCCTTGGAAGACCAATTTTGCACATTTCTTCCTAACCCCACGCTCGGTGACCTGATGTAGCTTGCTTGAAACTGGCCATTGTGGGAGAATTTATACCACAGAAATAAGCAAACATGACAAATCAGCCCTCTGCTCCTATGCCCTTGGAGAGTTGGTTGTTAAACATTGAACAGCTGCCCGGGCCGGTTTGGCTCAGCGGTTCGAGTGTCGCCCTCAGATCAAAGGGTTGCCAGTTCAATTCCTGGTTAAGGACATGTACCTGGGTTGCAGGTTTGATCCCCAGCCCAGTCAGAGTTGTGATGGAGGCAATCAATTAATGTGTCTCTCTTACATCAATGTTTCTCTCTCTCTCCCCCCCCCTCCTCCCCTTCCACTCCACTCTATCTAAAAAATCAATGGAAAAATATCCTTGAGTGAGAATAAAACAAAAAACATTGACCAGCGTAAGTCCCTGTACCCTTGGCTAATAAACCACAACTTAATCTAAACTTACAGAGATGCTGTGTGTAGGTGAATGTGTGTGTATGTGTGTGTGTGTGTGTGTGAGTGAGTGATCTCTCCCACCATCCATGGCCCACTGGGGGTGAAGAATGCAACACTAGAGAAATGTCATCTTACTCTAGGCAAATATGTTTGCTTTCATAATCTGCAGATTTTCAAAATTGTACATGAAGGCAAAAGCAAAGGCCTCCTCTCAGAGAAGAAAGGCAATTTATATTTCTCTCAGACATTTGCTCCAACAACTATAAGCACTTGTGTGAAACATGTCATCAGTCAAGAAAAACTAACAGTTGCTGCTTATATAGTTCTTTTCCATTTTTTGTTATGGGCTATGTATAAAGTAAAACATTTACAACTAGTGAACTAGTATATGTACCAATGGAAATTTCTATTAAGGGCCAGCTACTTTATAGGATTCAAATGAAGTGGGCAAAGTCTGTAGAATTCCATGAGACCAAAACCATTTTGCTGCAAAAGCATGAAGAGCTGCTTTAATTAAATTAGTTTTCCCCCCAAAACTACTTGTCATAATATGAGGTGTTTTATACCTATATCAATGGAATAGTGAGATTACAGGTCAGAATTTTGAAAATTCTCTTGTATCACAGTGGCATCAATGACACAAAGAAAACAAACAAAATTGGTCTCTAGTACATGAATTCTAACATCGAGAACAGGGTGCTTCATGGAGATAGTGCCTGGAAAGGGGCACAAAGGAAGCACAAGCAGGGCTTTGGGGAATGAGGTCTCTTCCTTGACCTACACTGAGTACCCAAGTGTGTTCATTTGGTCAAAATCCATAATTTATAATTGATGCACTTTTCTGTGTATATATAATACTTCAAGAAGAGGTTAAAAACCCTAAAGAGGCAAATTTAATGGAGGACAAATGCATTCTTCAAATGAGATATATCTATCTATATACCATGCATGTATTTTATTATAGCTTTAATTTTTCTCTTTTGCACTTAAGTATTTAATGCACATAGGGCAGGAAAATAAAAACCCCAAGCACATTATGGCAGCTCATCTTCACTGATGGCTGCTGACTCTGTTATCAATGAGAATAAAGTTGCTTCACTTTTAAATATTAGACAAGATTCCTGGCTTAGGCATATATATATATACATGTATTTAACTTTTTACAAATTGATTTTTAGAGAGGAAGGGAGAGGGAGAGATAGAAACATCAATGAGAGAGAATATGGACTGGCTGCCTCCTGCATGCCCCCCACTGGGAATTTGGCCCACAACTTGGGCATGTGCCCTGACCGGGAATTGAATTGGCAACCTCTTGGTGCGTGGGATGACACTCAACCACTGAGCCACACTGGCGGGCCTGGTTTAGGCTTATATTATGGACTCAATGTTTGTGTCCCAGCAACTTTACTTGTTGGAGCCCTAACCCCCAATGTGATGGCATTTAGAGGTGGGGCCCTTGGAAAGTAATTAGGTTATGAGGGTAGAGCCCTCGTGATAGGATTAGTGCCCTTATACAGGAGAGAGCTCCCTGCCTCTCTCTCTCTCTCAGTCATGTGAGGACAGAGCAAGACCACCATCTGCAAAACAGGAAGTGGACTCTCACTAGAGCCCAGCCATACTGGGACTTGGTCTCAGACTTCCTAGCCTCTAGAATAAATGTGTTAAGCCTATGGTATTCTGTTACAGCATCTGAAGCAGACTAAGACAACTTGAGATATCATTCATGACTATTTCTTTTTTTATACCTTTACTGAGGTATAATGGTTATACAAAGAACTGCACTATAAATAACTTGATGAGTTTGGACATATGCAAACTCATCACCACAAGCAAAGTAACAGACATATCCATCACCCCCCAAAGTATCCTTGTGTCCCTTGGTTTTTGTTTTTATTTGTGTGTGTGTGGTAAGAACATATAACATGGGATTTACCCTTTTAAATTCTAAAGTGCAAAATACCATACTGTTAACTACAGGCACTAAGTTGTACAGCAGATGGTTGTAATGGATGTATCTAGCTTAAGTCAAACTTTACACCCATTGATAATGGGAAGTTGTATCATTACTATTTCTAATAAGGACTTTCTAATATGATTTTGAGCTTCTGCTTATTGTGCAATGTTGCATTTTATTTTTTTTTATGACATTGCTTATTTTCACCTGATTAAGGTAATTTGCCCACACTCTTATTTCCAGAAAAGAAATTCTTCTTTACCGAATTATTATGGCAGAACTCTCCTCATACCTCATGAAAAGATATACATAGCAAATAGATCTATCTAATGTACTTGTCAAATGTGCTGCATCTTTTTATTACTACAAAACATTTTGTTAAAGCAAAAATCTGGTGAGGTACTTTAGACACAGAGAGATGAAAATATAGCTGTTATCACAAAACATCAGGCCTGGCCCACCATTTCTGTAATTTCTTTAATGGGCAATTAAACTCAGATGTTTCATCTCCTATATAGTTGGAGTGAGTAAAATGGAAAGATACAAATTTGACAGCAGCTATTAACTTTTAAATGTGTTTAGTCCTGAATCCAACAGGACCATTTCTGGAAATCCCTTCTCCAAAAACAGCTACATGAGCACAGTAGGGTGTAACCACTAGGATGTGCACCAGCATAGCTACTATTGGCTAGAGAGCAAAAGAGACCTAAATGTACATCAGTGGGAAAGTGGTAAAATAAATTATGGTTAATCCATACTCAAAAACGTACCAGATGATACAGGAATATCGATAATATTACACTTAAAAAATCAGATGGATCTGTGTGTGCTACATAAAACTAACCTTGTGTATGAAAGCACATTTCAAAACAATGAATATATACTGTATGATCTCATTTTAATGACAATGCTTCTCTCTCTCCATATAGTATATAATACTTATATAACATATGTATGTATACACACATTATACACATGTAAGTGAGTTTAGAAAAAAGGTATAGCTAGTTAGCCACCAAATCATCAGGAATGGGAATGGGCACTAGATTTAGGAGATTTGTAGGGACTTTCCCTTTATTCCTTATCTATTTCCTCATGGCTTAACTTTATTCAACAAGCCTGTATTTACACACACACACACACACACACACACACACACTTTCATACACACATACATATAAATATACACAACATATATAATATAAATACATATAATGGAAAAACCTGCCTTTCTTTCATCTGTGGTTATACGCTTTCATCTACTCCCATAACTGAGAAGTCAGGCACAGCTGCCTGCTCTTTCAAGTACAACATAGACTACTCTACTTGAGAATTAAACCTTTGATTAAATCATACAGAATTAAGAAAAAGCTATTGGTGATCTTTTTCTTACCTTTTCTGTGGGTGAGACATGCCACAGAGAAACTGTGTTCTCCTCAGCTTCATTGTTTACAGAGACATATGAAGGCTGATAGACTCTGGTTGGTTCTATCACCAGAACCTAAAAGAAGAACAGATTTCTGTAAAGCACAGGAATATACAAAATAGGTCACCCTACCCATTGAGGAAGTGGGAAGCTGTGCACTCCACAAACACTCATGAAGGACCTGTACAGTGTGCCAACACTGCTCTAGGACCTGTGGACACAGCGGCCACAACAGAAGTCCTTGCCCTCAGGAGGTCTTTGCTCTGATAAGGCAGATGAAGGAACAAACAGACAAGGATATGGAATATGGTACCATATAGAACTCTGAAGGAACAATGCATAATAAAGGTGAGTTGGAGAGGGAGAACTTTTTTAGACAGGGTAGTCAAGAAAGGCCTGCTCGGGGAGATAACAGAAAAAAGAGAGATGCTATAGTTTTTGAGAGAAATGTAGAAGTACACTGAATGACCACAGGTAGGTACCAAGTCTAAAGAATAAGTGGATGAAAAGTAAGGTGACATCAGTCATGTTTTATTTTGTTAGGGTAGAGAGAGGGAGGAAGGGAGAAAAGAAAGTACATGAAAGAGATAAAGAATGAATTTCCAAAGCAAATAAAGCAGTAAGTTTAAGATTGCTAAGCCTGGGTAGAGATTACCTGAGTGTCTGTTCCATTATTTTTTTCCTGCCTTTCAGTAGGTTTGAAATATTTCATAATTAAAAGAAGATTTTAAAACTTGTGCAGGAACAAAATTATTATCATAATCATTTCAAATAACTTAATCTTTTATTAGCTGTTTAATGAGATTCTTGAATGCTACATGTTCACAAAAATCTCATGGTATAAATATAAAACACAATTACCTGAAGTTGAGTTTCCAGAATGTTTAGATATCTTACTTATGCCTCCTTATAAGAAAGTTATAAAACTGCAACAAAAACTCAATAAAAAGATAAAAGCAATTTTGCTTTTCAGTACAGTTTTAAAAAGTAATTTGTGGCACTAGAGGCAAATCAAAGCTCAATAAGAAGCAGTTTTGAATTCTAAAATTTCACTACTAGCACTGCACTGTTCTAGAGCAGGGTTTCTCCATCTCAGCACTACTGACATTTTGGGTTGGATAATTCTGTGTGTGGGGAGGTATAACTATCCTGTGTACTGTGGAATGTTAAGTGGCCTCCACCCCATGAGCTGCCAGTTGCAACAACTTCCCCACAATTGTGACAACCAAAAATGTCTCCAGACATTGCCAAATGTCCTCTGGGAGACAAAAATCACTCCCAGTTGAGAACCACTATTTTAGAGAATACAGTATTTATTTTTTAAAAATCCACGTATACGTGGACCCATACAGTTCAAACCCATGTTGTTCAAGGGTCAACTGTACAGCCAACTTTTAAGTTGACCTATTACTGGTTAATTCCACATAAGATCGATGAATAGCTTAACATTTTAAATTATTCTAAGAATTTTTTTCCCTTTCAGAATAGTCAATAATTAGATAGCACCAACCCCCAGTTTATTTTTTCTTTTATCTTAAAGAAACAAATTTAACATATCTTACTGGAAATCTGAGTCCATTAATAACTTCTTTTGTTGCCTCGAAAATTATATCTAACCAGAAGTTAAGCCGTTCTCGCCTGGAAAAATGTTCAATAATAGGTTTCTTGAAGCGCAGAATTAAAAATAAATTCTGAACTAATGATCGTAGGTACCTGGAAAAATCACAAGCACCAATAAATTAGATTCCCAAAGAAAATGAGTTCAATTCTAGTCCCTTTAAAAGAAGTTTCCTGAAAGCTTTTACTTAAATTTATATTGTGTAGTGAGTGCTTCTTAATCATTTGGCAGCCATATACTTAATTAAAAGAAACCCAAACAGTGGGCAAAATAAGTTTGTTAAACAAATCATATAACATGACTTTTTTTTTTTTTTTACCAACATTGGTCTAAACCTCAATTTTGGTACACAGTGTTCAAAGCAGAGACTGGCAAGTATTTGCTAACTATCTTAAATAACAGGAACAAAGTAATTTGAAGTTCGAAGCACTTGCAAAATGACAAAATTTCAAACTCATTGTCTTTTTCTAATTCAACTTTTTGAGGTAATTGTAGATTTACATATAGTTGTAAGAAACAATATTGAGCGATCCCATGTGCCCTTGCCTTGGTCTGGTTTACCCCACCCCAATGGTACCATCTCACTAAATTCTAGAACAATATCACAATCAGGATATTGACCTGGATACAACCAAGACAGAGAATACATTTCCATTGCCACAAGGATCCCTCTTATTTCCCTTCTATAGCCACACCTACTTCTCTTTCATCCCTCAACTCCTCCTGAACCCCTGGCAATCACTAATGTGAAACTTAATTGCTTCGTCTTCTAAAACAGTTAGACCTGCTCAGCCAGTGTGGCTCAGAGGTTGAGCGTCCACCCATGCACTAAGAAGTCATCCGTTCTCTTCCTGGTCAGGGCACATGTGCAGGTTGTGGGCCAGATCCCCAGTGGGGGGCATGCAGGAGGTGACCAATCAATATTCCCTCTCATCAATGTTTCTGTCTCTCCCTCTCCCTTCCTCTCTCTCAAAAATCAATATAGAAAACATATTAAAAAACAATCAAACAGTCCTGGCCAGTTTGGCTCAGCGGTTAGAGCATCGACCCACGGACCAAAGAGTCACGGATTCGATTCTGGCCAAGGGCACGTACCTTGGTTGCAGTTTGTCCCAGCCTTGGTCGGGGTCGTGCAGGAGGCAACCGATCGATGTGTCTCTCTCACACGATGTTTCTTCTCCCCCCTCTTCTACTCTATCTGAAGATAAATGGAAAAAATATCCTCAGGTGAGGATTAAAAAAAAAAAAAAAAAGAAAAACAAACAAAACAATTAGATCTGAGTAGGTAGCTTTTGATGTTATGAGATCTTGAATCTGACCACACCTTTACTGTCCTCAAGCAAGTGGAACTTTTTGAAACATAACTACTAGGCAGTGGTGGTCACATTTTCTGTGGCACTGAACAGGGATGGTTCAGGTGAAAGTATCAGAGTATTATTTTTCCCTTTGAGGATAAAGTCTAGAGCTACCCTGGGAAGACAGATCAGTTAGACTCTGAATGATTTGCTTGGGTGCTGTGCAGTACAGGATTAACTCAGCTGGCCTTGGTTGTCCAAACTCTACACATTCCAAAGAAAGATCTGGCCCTAGACTGGTTTCTGGAAAATCACCTCTAAGCCCTTGGGATAGCGTGCTTGATAAGAGTGTCTTTGTTTACCTGGAGCTGTGGGCCATGCCAGACAGTTTATAATAACAATATCATTCATGGTGGGGGCCTTGGGCAATACTGTATCAGTGTGATCGCCAGAGATATTGGGTACTCCATACCTACAAGACCGACCCACAATAAAAACCCTGGACCTACTAAGACTTTGTGAGCTTCCCTGGTTGGCAATACTTTGGGCACGCTGTCATGCACTGTTGTTGAGAAAATTAAACGCTATCCATACGACTCCACTAAAGAAAGGACAACTGGAAGCTTATGCCTGGTCTCCTTGGACTCTGCCTTGTGTGCCTTTTGCCTTTGCTGATTTTAATGTGTATACTTCTACTATAATACCTTGAGTATAACAGCTTTTCTGAGTTGTGTGAGTCTTCTAGAAAATCATGAACCTGAGAATGGTCTTGGACCCACAACAATAGGTATCAACACTGTAAGTCAGCCCAAGTGCTGATGGAAAGAGAATGTATTCAAGCTTCAGGCCTGCTCTCCATGGAGTCAGCTAAAATCAGGATTCTGGAAAAGCAGCCACTCCAGAGGGCTAGAGGCTCAGTATGCCTCTGCATTCTCCCACCCTCAGAGAACTTTCCAGAGGCTAATATGGTTTGAGGACCAAATTTAATTCCTTCAAACTGAAAAGAAATGGGGTCAAATTAGATATGACTAAAGAGTTTTCTACACCTAGGAGTCCAGACTGACCCACTGGCTGAGAAATAAGAGTGGGAAGTTCAATATAGATTGTTAAAAGTAAAAATTTTAAATTATGCAAATAATCCAAATGCATTTTCAACAAATCAGATAAGGAAAAAACAAATTAAAAATGTATAAGGCTAGCCCTGGCCGGGTTACTCAGTTGGTTGAAGCGTTATCCCGTACAACAAAAGGCTGCGGGTTTGATTTCCAGTCAGGGCACATACCTAGGTTGTGGGTTCAATCTCCATTCAAGGTGTGTACAGGAGGCAACTGACCAATGTTTCTCTCTCATATTGATGTTTCTTTCTCTTTCTCTCCCTTCCTCTCTTCCTAAAATCAATAAACATATCCTCGGGTGAGGATAAAATAAATTTTAAAAAAAAACAACTTCTAAGGCTATCACCCTGAGATAACCACTGTCAATATTTTAGAGAAAATCCATAATTCATAATTTATTCATTATAACAAATATTTACTAAGCATCTACAATGGGATGGTAGCAATCAATCGGAAAACCACAATTCTAAGGGAGCTTAATGACTATTGGGAAAGTCAAGTATTGCCCAACCTACCGAGACCTTTTTCTGACTCAAATATCAAACACATATTTTTAATTAAGATGAGTCCATACAGAACAATAGTTCTCCAAGTGTGATCCTCAGACCATCAGCATCAGCTTATAATTTGTAAAATGCAAATTCTCAGGCCTCACCCTAGACCTTTTGAACCAGAAATTCTAAAGGTGGACACAGTAATCCGTGTTTTGATCAAGAAAGGTGATTCTGATACATGCCAAAGTTTGAGAACCACTGATGTAGAAAAGCATTCGCTGCAACTGGCTTTTTTTTTTTTTTTTTATCCTCACCCAAGGACATTTTTTCGTTTTTTGTTCAGATAGAGTGGGAGGGAAAGAGAGAGAGAGAAACATCAATGCGAAAGAGACATATTGAGTAGTTGCCACCCGCACGACCCAATCAGGGCCGAGGACAAACTCCAACCCTTAGCGGGAACCAAACCCGGGTCTCTCTGGACCGCAGGCCAACGCTCTAACTGCTGAGCCAAATCGGCCAGGGCTGCAGCTGGCTTTTCTTATTCTATGATAAACCATAAACACATTTCTCTGTTTTCAAGTATCGTTTCTCGTACATTTTAATAGCTGCATAACCTAGGCCCATAGCTATGCCACATTTTCTCAATCATACATCTATTATTGGTCTTTTAGCTTCAGTTTTCATTTGCGATGTCATTTCCTTCTGTGTTTTTCAGCTTTGTGATCTGCTTTCTCACAAATGCACAATAAGTACTAGTACCAAAGAAAGTTTGCTCTTGAGGACCTGGATGACCTGAAGAAATTAACAGGACTGAGAGTTTCATCTTGGAGATAACAGCATGTAGAGATATAGTCTGTGTGTGCATGTATGTGTCTGTCTTTCCCTCTCTTCACATAAAACCAAGTGATTCTTCAGAGTTTTTCTTTCTGTCCTAACTTTACTACAGTGAAGAAGTCAGAAGGAGAAACGTAGTAATTGCTATTGTTTTTTACATTTACACCTTTTCTCCCTGGCAGAAACATTTCAGGACATGATCTGATATTGAGAAGGGTACTGATAATGCACAGACATGACTCACCAGACTGGAGGCTTCAGTTTGAACAACTTCTCTGCTGCCTGGATGGCCTTCACGACATTATTAGCCAACATGCTGATGCTGAAGAAATGACCCACATCCCAGTAATTGTTCATTTTCTCCAAGCACCCTTTACTTCCCAACAAACTGTTCAGCTGGACACCTTAAGAATATGAATTTTAGATAAAGTTATAAAAATATTTCTAGTTTCTATCATATTATGCAAGCTTTTAGACAGAAGAAAAATAGGCATTTTATTTTGGCTATTGTCTCAAGTGTGCCATCAGAAAGTAATTCTTCCTTCTGAAATATAATAATAGTTTTGTGAAAATGACTTTTAATGCTGAACTTGTGTTACCAAAGCATCAACATCTACAATAATAAGTAGCGTTACCTATATTCCTTAGTTCCAAGGATGTTTCAAATTGTTGTCCAGAAACTATCAGCAAAATTGCAAGGTTAATTCCAGAATAAAGAGATGGCTGGAGCTTGAACCCTTTGCGATACCTACAATCACAGAACCATCCAGTTCTTATTATATCATCCTATTATGGTAGAAAAAATGTGTAAATAATGGTATAAACAAACCTTCTTATGAAAATTTATACTATTCTAATTTATTGTTTTCCAGCTTTTCTTCCCAATCTTTTGTTTGTTTGTTTGTTTCTGGAATATCCTTTCTTTTATTTAATTTTAAAAAGATTTTATTTTTTCCATCACCCTTTATCTCCTTCATGCCTCTTCCACCTCCACCCATCCCCCTCCACCCCCACAATCACCACACCATTGTCCATATCCATGAGTTCCCTCTCTTTTTTTCTTGCTGAATCACTCTATCTCCCTAAACCCCCCACCCCCAGAGCTGTCTGCCTGCTCTCTATCTATGAGTCTGTCTCTACCTTCCAATCTTTATAAACAGCTACATGCAGCACTCAAATATCTTCTTTAAAATGTCATAGTAGCAACAGAGTACTTAAACTAGGGAATTTAAAATTTTTTTCATCGTTTTTATTTATTTATTTATTTATTGCTTTATTGATTTTAGAGAGAGGAAGTGAGAGGGAGAGAGAGACAGAAACATTGGTGAGAGAGAACATCGATTGGCCGCCCCCTGCATGCCCCCAACTGGGGATCGGGCCCACAACCTGGGCATGTGTCCTGACTGGGAATCGAACCGGCGACCTCTTGGTGCATGGGTCGACACTCAACCACTGTGCCACACCGGCCGAACTCATCAGGTTTTTAAAATTAAAAAAAAAAAAGATCATTGTATAAAATAAGGAAACTATGTTAAAGTGTACAAAAGAAATTTAAAACCTATTATAATCCTACCCCCAAAAGGAGACCACAATTTGATATCCAAATCTCATTTTTGGAGTTAGACTCCATTTGTACGTTGAACATTTTTTATTACATAGAACTTGCATCAATTATAGGCTATTTCTCTGTAGACCATTTGTTTGTTTGCTTATATCACAAAATGAAATAACTTTTTCACGTATGAAGCAGTATTGCCAGAATCCTGGAGCTCAAAGAACTATAAGAGCAGTGGCATAAAGTGACAGAAGGGGCAGGAATGTATTACATTAGGATAAAAATATAAAACTGCATCATGGCAAAAAAATTAAGATACCTAGGAATAAACTTAACCAAAGAAGTAAAGGACCTATTTGCAGAAAACTACAGGACATTGAAAAAAGAAATAGAGAAAGATATAAAAAAGTGGAAGCACATACCTTATTCATGGATTGGAAGAATTAACATCATTAAAATGTCCATATTACCCAATGCAATCTATAGATTCAATGCAATCCCCATCAAAATACCAACGACATACTTCACAGAACTAGAACAAATACTTCAAAAGTTCATATGGAACCAAAAAAGACCTCGAATAGCCACAGCAATCTTGAAAAAGAAGGACAAAGTAGGTGGGATCACAATACCAGATATCAGGTTATACTACAAAGCGACTGTAATCAAAACAGCCTGGTACTGGCACAAGAACAGGCATATAGAACACTGGAACAGAATAGAGAACCCAGAAATGGACCCAAGACACTATGCTCAATTAATATTTGAAAAAGGAGGCAAGAGCATACAACAGAGTAAAGACAGCCTCTTTAATAAATGGTGTTGGGAAAATTGGACAGCTACAATTTTTATACCAAAATGTTAACAATGCCATTTTACATTCTCTCATTTATTCTTTATTTTATACATAAAAAGCTTCTTTCTCTTCCATGAGTGACTAATGAGTACCATGATCAGAAAAAAATAATCTGATCCATAAAGTATGCCAAGGACTTCTAAAATAGAAGTTGTTTTATCATTTATGTGACAAGAGAATTAAACACTGACAAAAATTAATTGTAGAAGTGAGAATTTATTTAAGGTCTCCCTGAGCCACAAGTTCCACATCTGTACCTGAGGGCCTGAGCTAGACGATCCTCAAGGTCTCACCTGAGCCAACATGTCCTGACCAGAAGACTAAGGCTCATTTGCTCCTGTATCCACTGCCACTACTTTCTGAAGTGGATAGAGAAAGGCTCCTATGACTTTCTTGAAGGAGCCACGGGTAGTAATTTTCTAACCTGGGGATTGAATTCTTGCCCACCATGGTGGAAGCACAGCTTTCTATTTTGGCTCTATAAAATGTTAATTTCCCTCCCTTACCCTTCCCTTCTGCACCCTGAGTGATTCCTCTCTGCCATACAATACGTTAGGTACTATTGAGGATGAACTAAAAATAACACAAGGTCCCTGCTCTCTAAGAACCTATACTATGGTAAAGATGGTAAGATCCGCACACAATTAGTGAAAATATAAGCATGAGTGTCATAAATATCCTAAAACCACACAAATGCAAGTCTAGAGGGATTCACAGAAGACATATGGGGTCATCCTTAAAGACTTCAGATATGGTATGAAGATGGGTAGAATTATAATAGCATACATCTGGAAAGGGAACCCTCAGCATAGAAAATGGTGGGAGCAGAGATGGGAGTTTGAGGAGCTCCTAAGGAACTTTAGTTTAATAGGATATATATCAGGCCATGGGAAATAGGATTAGAGGTGGGTTGGGGAAAGTTTGCAGAGCACCCAGAATGATGATCCAAGATTAAATTTTTATTTACTAAGGAATGTGGAGCCATGGTGGGGGTCCTTGAGCTTTAGAAAGGTAGACTTTAGAGACACCAAGGATGGAGCCTGTTTGGGATACTGTTAGAACATTCATGGTAAGAAAGTAAAACAAAACAAAAAAAAGTGCTGATTAGAGGTGGTGGTGATTGAAAAGGATTGACAGAGAGTGAGGGAAGACTCACAGAAGGACTAAAATTGGGAGCTGATTGTATGGGAAATAAGTGAAATGTATCAAACATCAACCAAAAAGTTTAAGCCTAGGAGGCTAAAAGTAGGAAGAATGCAAGACACTGGAAGCCATATCTTGTGGAGATAAGAAAACAACTTCAGCTTTGGACATAGTCTTAAATACCAGCACCAGCTCAAAGAATAGGTGGGCTAAAAGGGGGCAATGCGAGGTCACAACTTAGGACAGAGGTTGCGCTGAAGACCAGCTAAGGGTCCCAAGGTGTGGGACTGGCTGGGATCACCAGGGAAGAGTGTGTGGACAGAGAGTAGTTAGAGGACAGAGCCTCCAACATGTATGGAAGGAGAAGAGAGAGGGACAGGGAGAGGGAGAGAGAGAGAGAGAGAGAGAGAGAGAGAGAGAGAGAGAGAGACAGCAATCAGAATTAAATGAGAGTAGAACAGCAATGACAAGAGCTCTTGTGATGGAAATGGATAATGTGAGCTGTTGGATAGACCTTAAAAAAACATCCAGGTTCTGACTTATCATTTTCGTTCAAGCCTAGTTCAAGCCACCATCAGCTCTCTCCTAAATTATTTCAATAGTTTTCTCTTCCCTGCTTCTGCTCTTGCCCCTGCGGTAAAGTGTTTAGTGGCCACAAAGTTGTCCTATCCCACTGTGCTTGTGCCTTTGCAATATGACTTTGCCATTTTTCCCACTCACACAAGGACACTATTTCTCCACCTCCTTAAATTTGAGATGGCCATGTGATTTTCTTGGATCAATAGCATGTGGTATAACTGACCTTACATGAGTTCCTGATCCTAAGCCTCAAGAGGCTTTGCAGCTTCCACCTTTGCTCTCTTAGAATGCAACCAATCATGTAAGAAAGCTGGTCTACCAGGATTAGAACCACATGGCAGAAAATGGGGGCTCACCATCAACACCCAGCAACAGCTGGCAAATGTGTGTTAGGCCATCTTGGACCTTCCATCCCTGCTGACCGTCCAGCTGACTGCAACTTTAGAAGTGAGCCCAGCACTTTGGGAGTGGAACCAGCTGAGGAATTGCCTGGCCAATCCACAGAATCGTGAGAAATTGTAATTCACTGTGTTAAGCCATTAAGTTTTGGAGTTGTTATGTAACAAATGATAGTTGATAACCCCCTAAAATGTATTGTTTGCATAACAGTGAGCCTACTCCAGTTAAAATGTATGTCAGATCTTGTCACTCATCTGCTCAGAACACTCCAATGTTGTATCATCTCCCTCAGAGTAAAAAGATCATTTCCCTCCCATTTCCTGCCACTCTTCACTTGCTCACGCCTACCATCCTTGAACTTGCCCAGCATGTTTTCTCCTCAGGCTCTTTGTCCTTGCTGTCCTCCTCCTCCCAGAACATTTTCTCCAGTTATCTGTAAGACTCATTCCCTCACTGTCTTCACGTCTCTATTCACTTGCACCGACTACCCTACCTAAAACTTCAGACAACTCCTCCCAACCCTCCTTTCCCCCCTCCCTCTTAACTTTCCCCCAAAGCCCTCACTATCAGCTCACATACTATATATTTTACTTTGTCTGACTTCCCTTACCAGCAATACAAGGTCTATCAGGGCAAGAATTCACGCCTGCTGTGTGTTTATCCCCACCATCAAAAAAAGTTTCTGGCACACAATAAACCCTCAATAAACCTTTGTTGAGTGGATGGATGGATGGATGGATGAATATCTCACAGAAAAGACAATGCCCTGACAGTGGTAGAACAAGGTTCTGGAAGGAGCGTGCCAATCCTCCTTCTTGCCCCTATGAATGAGTGAACATGTGGGAAGAATGTCACTAGTAAAAAAAAAACTGTTTCTAATGGTTTCCTTAGGGAAAAGGGAATGTGGAAATTCCCAAACTATATTTATGGCATGTTTTTTTCACTGCCAGTAGACAAGCACACACACATACATAGGAAAAAGATGTGAATTTTTAGCCACTGCAATTCTGTTCTTTGCAGAGATGCACATGCTACCGACTAGGACTGAGGATTTACCACTCAATGGCGCTCTCTCTGCTGGCATTATCTTTGCAGTGTGACTCCAAAAAGATGTCCTTGTAGATCCTTCCACATAGGCAGAACATGTCGGGAGCTGGGCAGTCACAGTCCCGCAGAATCTGAAGCATGATCTGCAGAGCCTTCTCACGGTCGCCTGCGCTGTTTCTCCTGAAAGATTCATGTGATAAGAACATGAATGTCTGAATCAGGACACAAGAACATGTGTGTGTGTGCGTGTGTGTGTGGTACTTTATGGGAAAAAATTAAATTATATTTCAATTTTCATATTCAAATATAACACTTGCTTAAGATCCACACCAGTACATTTCATACAATTATATTCAATCCCTACTTGATCCTTTCTCTTTAAATTAGAGCTATACTATGGATGAGCACATAAGGTGATCAATGTATCTGGAAAGACAAAAATAATATGGCAGCCTCCTGTAACCGGATGGAGAGCAAGGATTTTAGAATCTACGCCTGAATCACGAGAATGAGATAGTTTGATAAAAGGTTCTTTGGAAAATGGCAGGACCCCCAAATTCAAAGCCCAGATGAATTTAGAAATGTATCATGGCATTTCTTGACCTGAAATGCCTTGCCATTCTCAAACAGCAAAAGACCTTAGTGAGTCCTGTTTTCTTATCATGTTACACACCAATACAGGAAATTATTTCTATATTCATAAATCATACTCTTCTCTATTATTAGATTATATGGTAAATTTTTCATTTATACATGGGAAATGGATTCCATAGATAGTTGTTAAAATAATTCTTGCCATAAAATAACCTGAGTTTGTGGCCGTGAAATATTAAAAGTGTTCTTGTGAAGATATGGAAGCAAATGTCCATCAGTAGTTGGGTCAGATTAAATCAATTATGGCTAATGATATTCATATTCATATTATAAAATATTAAACATTTATAAAAATAAATGAAACAATCTCTCTAAACTACTGCTATGGAAAGATCTCTAGAATATGTTGTTAAGAAAACAAGGTGTTGAATACTGTGAAGAGACTTCTACCTTTCTATTTAAGAAAAAGGGATGTGAATAAATACATGTATCTGCTTTTATGTCTTTCAAAATGGAAGAATAAACCAAAAAGTAATAAGAGTGGCTACTGATAGGTGGAGGGAAAAAACATGATGAAAGGGACAAGGATAGAGATTATACTTCTTGGAATTTGACTTTGAAACTACTTAAGTTTTTTACATAATTATAAAATAAAATGAAATAAAAATTTAAAAACAGTGTTTCCTAAAAACACTGCTTGCCAATGAACATACCATCTGAATTTGTGGTTGGTGCGAAACAAATATACATCTGGTTGATGGCTTAATCACAAAAGAGACACTAATTCATATGATTTTAAAACACAGCAAACTGACTATATTTTTCTAAGAAATATAATCTAAGGAAAAAGCATAAATGCAAAGAAATCTTAAATAGTTTCTAATAATAATATTGTTAGTGACAATACTGGTATTGGTATTTTGAGAATATTATATATTTTTAGCATGGAATACAACAAATAATGATGTTAATATCACTAGGAACCAGATTTTTCAGCATAAGAGGAATGAATATACAATCAAAGAAGTTAAGTAAAAATACTCTAGTCCTAAATTTGAATTGGAACATTAATATGAATTCATGGAGTGGTTTCCCTAGCTCTGTCTACCGAAAAGGTCCCAAATGATGACCAATGAGAAACTCCAAGCCCTAACTGGGATCTGTAAATATCATTTCACTAAAAGAAACCAGGACTCCTTGGAGGAATGGCTAGTTCCAGATATGCCTAAATAATCCTGGAACATCTTAACATACAAAAAAGCAAAGAAGCTACTTAGCTCATAGCAAAAAGACTCAAAAGCTAACTTAAATCAAATTTTGACAAAAGAGGGAATGATTGGAACAGTAAGAAGAATAATAAACTTTGGGTAGTGAACACAATACACTATACGATGATATAGAACTGTGCACTTGAAACTTACATAATCTTATTAATCAATGTCACCCAAGTAAATTTAATAAAATAAAAAAGGAGAACTATAAAGGATTGAAACACATCAACTATATTAAAACGATGACTTCATAATGATCTTATAAACCTCACTGGTCACCTTTGAAGGATCCTAAGGAACCAATTCATTGTTTTTTAAAACTGATCAAGGCAAAAATCAAACACATAGCTTCTTTTCCCATACAAACTGTATACCAGGATAACCAAGTCATTGATGAAGGGAAATTTCTCTTTATAAAGTATTTGTGCCTAAAACACCAATCAGAAAGAATATATGTACCCCCATGTTTGTAGCAGCACTATTTACAATGGCTAAGATCTGGAAACAGCCCAAGTGTCCATCAGTAAACGAATGGATAAAAAAGCAGTGGTACATATACACTAGTACTACGCAGCTGTAAGAAAGAAAGATCTCTTATCCTTTGAGACTACATGGAAGGACCTGGAAAGTATCATCCTAAGTGAAACAAGCCAAACAGAGAAAGACAAGTTTCATATGATCTCACTTATTTGTGGAATATAATGAACATGACAGTCTGAGGAATGGGGTAGTCCCAGAGATGTGGAAGTACAGACTGACAATCCCCTAAAGAGGGGGGTGGTGGGGGAGAGATAAACCACAGAACTTATATGCATGTATGCATGAACAGTGGACATGGACAACAAACTGGGGAAGGGGCAGGGAGGGAGGAGGAGGGGAGAATCAGTGGGGGGTAAAGGAGAAACATCTGTAACAAAAATTAATTAATAAAAAAAGTATTTGTGCTAATAACTCAGGAGTTGAATATAAAATTCAAACATCACTATTTTGCAACCGCTAATAAAATAATGGTTCTAGGCAATGATAGTCAAGGGCTACTAGCATCACAAAAAGAAAAGAAAAAAAAAAAAAAAGGAAGTACACAAGCAACTATTAAGTATACTTAAAAAAAATCAGGCCAGAATCTGAAAGTGTCCAGATCTAACTACCAACTTAGGAACTCAGTAATTTCACCATAGGGATATGATCATCAAAATTCAGAAATTTGGAAACTACAGGACAAGTGCTTCTTCAACAAATAAATTATAAGAAAAAGAAAAAAATAAAAGGAGAAACATATACTTAAAAACACACACACACACACAAGTCACATCAACGAAATGCAATGTGTAGACCTTACCTGTATCATGATTCAAATAAACCCACTATTAAAAAATGAGACAATTGGGAAAATTTGAACACTGGTATTAAGGAATTATTGTTCATTTTTAGATACGATAACATAATTGTAATTATGTTTTATAAAATTGTCTTTAACTGGACTTGGCTGGATAGCTTAGTTAGTTAGTGTCATCCAGATACACTAAGGTTGCAGGTTTGATCCCCCGTAGGAGCACATACAAAATCAACCAATGAATGCATAAATAAGTGGAACAACAAATCATTATTTCTCTCTTTCTCTCTTTCTCCCTCTTGCCCTCCCTCCTTCACTCCCTCCTTCCTTTAAAGACACGTACTGAAATATCCATGGATAAAATGGCGTGTCTTTGCTTCATAATAAATCCAGTGTTGAGGCATGAAGGGGTGAGTGGGGATGTGCAGGAAACACAACTGACCGTGCAATGATACATTACTGAAGTGGATAAGAGTTCATGGTTCTCCTGATATTCCCTATTTTTAAATATATCTGAAACTCATATAATAAAAAAGTAAAAGGACCCATCCTGACTCAATAAGTCCACTTCAAAGTCTATAATATAGAAATTTATACATTTAAACAAAAATGTTTATTATGACATTGTTTGTAACAGTAAAAAACTAAAGGTGATCCAAATGTCCATTAATAGAAGAATGGTGAAATATACAATTTTTGATCTGCAGTTGGGAATGCAAGGATGCAGAAGGCCTATTTCAGCTTTATGCAGATTTTCCACTGCACAGGTGGTTGGTGTCCCAACCCCTAAGTTGTTCAAGGGTCAACTGTATGTTGTAAAAACCAAACTATGGAGTATCATGCAACCCTTAGAAAAAGGCAGATCCATATGTAATTATTTAGAAGAATGTCCAAAACAGTATAAGGAAAAAAATAGCTGAACTAAATGAACAGCATGATCTCATTCTTTGTAGTAAAGTCTATTTACATATATGTTTATGTGCACAGACAAAATCTGAAAGGGCACACATTAAAATATTCAAAAAATTGTCCGGCTGGTGTAGCTCAATGGTTGAGCATCGATCCATGCACCAAGTGGTCACCGGTTCCGTTCCCGGTCAGGGCACATGCCCAGGTTGTTGGCCTGATCCCCAGTGGGGAGCATGCAGGAGGCAGCCAATTGATGTTCTCTCTCATCTATGTTTCTATCTCTCTCTCCTTCTCCCTTTGTCTCTCTCTAAAATCAATAAAGGGAAAATAAAATAAAATATTCAAAAAAATCATTGCTGGGATTTGTACAAGGTGTTCCTATGTATATTTCACTAATAAATACTCTAATAAATGAATAAAGAGATTACTCTTTAATTTCTTGACGATTTTAGAACAGGCTCCTTTATGCTTTTTTCCCTGAGGACCTGTACCTCAAAAAAACCAATGCATCATCCAAGAAGACAGATTAGTACTTAGGACAGCCCTAGAGAAAGTTACTTGATTGAGTGACTATTTTCTCCATTGTCTCAAAAGTGGTATATAGCTAGCTAGCCCCATTCTGGATGCATATGAGAGTTCATTCAATTGATAACAATGAATGCCTCAGGGCATTAGGGTTTAATTCTCCTGTGAAACCCAGCCTGGGTTGAGAAGGGCTAATCTAGACATTTGGCGTTCTTCTGGAAGCCTGTAATAATTAAGCCTGTATTTCAACTCTGACTTTTTCTATTTTGTACCTTGGTCTTGTTCTAATTTCCTTGATCTTTTCTCTCTTTGTTCAGACTCCAATTTTACCAGCCTGCAAACCAGATCTCTTGATGAACAGCCCACCCACGATATTCTTTAATCTTTAAGGGCCAACAGATATCAACCCAACTCAAATTTACTAAAGCATTTAAATAATTTCTAGAGTCGGTGGCGAGAAAATGAAAAAGAAAACTTTGATGAGGCACAAAATTTCTACATCTATTATGAGCCATCTTTTGAGGTATGAAATAGTCAGGATTCTGAAG